TGCAGTCCCAGCTTTGGGACTGGAGCTGCAGTCCCAGCTTGGGGACTGGAGCTGCAGTCCCTGCTTTGAGACTGGAGCTGCAGTCCCAGCTTTGGGACTGGAGCTGCAGTCCCTGCTTTGGGACTGGAGCTGCAGTCCCAGCGTGGAGATTGGAGCTGCAGTCCCTGCTTTGGGACTGGAGCTGCAGTCCCAGCGTGGGGATTGGAGCTGCAGTCCCAGCTTTGGGACTGGAGCTGCAGTCCCTCCTTAGGGACTGGAGCTGCAGTCCATGCTTTGGGACTGGAGCTGCAGTCCCAGCTTGGGGACTGGAGCTGCAGTCCCAGCTTGGGGACTGGAGCTGCAGTCCCAGCTTTGAGACTGGAGCTGCAGTCCCAGCTTTGGGACTGGAGCTGCAGTCCCAGCGTGGGGATTGGAGCTGCAGTCCCTGCTTTGGGACTGGAGCTGCAGTCCCAGCGTGGGGATTGGAGCTGCAGTCCCAGCTTTGGGACTGGAGCTGCAGTCCCTCCTTTGGGACTGGAGCTGCAGTCCCAGCTTGGGGACTGGAGCTGCAGTCCCAGCTTGGGGACTGGAGCTGCAGTCCCAGCTTGGGGACTGGAGCTGCAGTCCCAGCTTGGGGACTGGAGCTGCAGTCCCAGCTTGGGGACTGGAGCTGCAGTCCCAGCTTGGGGACTGGAGCTGCAGTCCCGGCTTTGGGACTGGAGCTGCAGTCCCAGCGTGGGGATTGGAGCTGCAGTCCCTGCTTTGGGACTGGAGCTGCAGTCCCAGCGTGGGGATTGGAGCTGCAGTCCCAGCTTTGGGACTGGAGCTGCAGTCCCTGCTTTGGGACTGGAGCTGCAGTCCCTGCTTTGGGACTGGAGCTGCAGTCCCTGCTGCAGTCCCTGCTTGGGGACTGGAGCTGCAGTCCCAGCTTGGGGACTGGAGCTGCAGTCCCAGCTTGGGGACTGGAGCTGCAGTCCCGGCTTTGGGACTGGAGCTGCAGTCCCAGCGTGGGGATTGGAGCTGCAGTCCCAGCTTTGGGACTGGAGCTGCAGTCCCTGCTTTGGGACTGGCGCTGCAGTCCGTGCTTTGGGACTGGAGCTGCAGTTCCAGCTTTGGGACTGGAGCTGCAGTCCCAGCGTGGGGACTGGAGCTGCAGTCCCAGCGGGGGACTGGAGCTGCAGTCCCAGCTTGGGGACTGGAGCTGCAGTCCCTGCTTTGGGACTGGAGCTGCAGTCCGAGCTTTGGGACTGGAGCTGCAGTCCCAGCTTGGGGACTGGAGCTGCAGTCCCAGCTTGGGGACTGGAGCTGCAGTCCCAGCTTGGGGACTGGAGCTGCAGTCCCAGCTTTGGGAGTGGAGCTGCAGTCCCAGCGTGGGGACTGGAGCTGCAGTCCCAACGGGGGACTGGAGCTGCAGTCCCAGCTTGGGGACTGGAGCTGCAGTCCCGGCTTTGGGACTGGAGCTGCAGTCCCAGCTTTGGGACTTGAGCTACAGTCCCTGCTTTGGGACTTGAGCTGCAGTCCCAGCTTTGGGACTGGAGCTGCAGTCCCAGCTTTGAGACTGGAGCTGCAGTCCCAGCTTTGGGACTGGAGCTGCAGTCCCAGCTTGGGGACTGGAGCTGCAGTCCCTGCTTTGAGACTGGAGCTGCAGTCCCAGCTTTGGGACTGGAGCTGTAGTCCCTGCTTTGGGACTGGAGCTGCAGTCCCAGCGTGGTGATTGGAGCTGCAGTCCCTGCTTTGGGACTGGAGCTGCAGTCCCAGCGTGGGGATTGGAGCTGCAGTCCCAGCTTTGGGACTGGAGCTGCAGTCCCTCCTTTGGGACTGGAGCTGCAGTCCCTGCTTTGGGACTGGAGCTGCAGTCCCAGCTTGGGGACTGGAGCTGCAGTCCCAGCTTGGGGACTGGAGCTGCAGTCCCAGCTTTGAGACTGGAGCTGCAGTCCCAGCTTTGGGACTGGAGCTGTAGTCCCTGCTTTGGGACTGGAGCTGCAGTCCCAGCGTGGGGATTGGAGCTGCAGTCCCTGCTTTGGGACTGGAGCTGCAGTCCCAGCGTGGGGATTGGAGCTGCAGTCCCAGCTTTGGGACTGGAGCTGCAGTCCCTGCTTTGGGACTGGAGCTGCAGTCCCTGCTTTGGGACTGGAGCTGCAGTCCCAGCTTGGGGACTGGAGCTGCAGTCCCAGCTTGGGGACTGGAGCTGCAGTCCCAGCGGGGGACTGGAGCTGCAGTCCCAGCTTGGGGACTGGAGCTGCAGTCCCGGCTTTGGGACTGGAGCTGCAGTCCCAGCTTTGGGACTTGAGCTGCAGTCCCTGCTTTGGGACTTGAGCTGCAGTCCCAGCGTGGGGACTGGAGCTGCAGTCCCAGCTTGGGGACTGGAGCTGCAGTCCCGGCTTGCGTGGGGACTGGAGCTGCAGTCCCTGCTTTGGGACTGGAGCTGCAGTCCCTGCTGCAGTCCCTGCTTGGGGACTGGAGCTGCAGTCCCAGCTTGGGGACTGGAGCTGCAGTCCCAGCTTGGGGACTGGAGCTGCAGTCCCGGCTTTGGGACTGGAGCTGCAGTCCCAGCGTGGGGATTGGAGCTGCAGTCCCAGCTTTGGGACTGGAGCTGCAGTCCCTGCTTTGGGACTGGCGCTGCAGTCCGTGCTTTGGGACTGGAGCTGCAGTCCCAGCTTGGGGACTGGAGCTGCAGTCCCAGCTTGGGGACTGGAGCTGCAGTCCCAGCGGGGGACTGGAGCTGCAGTCCCAGCTTGGGGACTGGAGCTGCAGTCCCGGCTTTGGGACTGGAGCTGCAGTCCCAGCTTGGGGACTGGAGCTGCAGTCCCAGCTTGGGGACTGGAGCTCCAGTCCCTGCTTGGGGACTGGAGCTGCTGTCCCAGCTTTGGGACTGGAGCTGCAGTCCCAGCTTTGGGAATTGAGCTGCAGTCCCTGCTTTGGGACTTGAGCTGCAGTCCCAGCGTGGGGACTGGAGCTGCAGTCCCAGCTTGGGGACTGGAGCTGCAGTCCCTGTGTGGGGACTGGAGCTGCAGTCCCTGCTTTGGGACTGGAGCTGCAGTCCCTGCTGCAGTCCCTGCTTGGGGACTGGAGCTGCAGTCCCAGCTTGGGGACTGGAGCTGCAGTCCCGGCTTTGGGACTGGAGCTGCAGTCCCAGCTTGGGGACTGGAGCTGCAGTCCCAGCTTGGGGACTGGAGCTGCAGTCCGAGCTTAGGGACTGGAGCTGCAGTCCCAGCTTGGGGACTGGAGCTGCAGTCCCGGCTTTGGGACTGGAGCTGCAGTCCCTGCTGCAGTCCCTGCTTGGGGACTGGAGCTGCAGTCCCAGCTTGGGGACTGGAGCTGCAGTCCCGGCTTTGGGACTGGAGCTGCAGTCCCTGCTTTGGGACTGGAGCTGCAGTCCCAGCGTGGGGACTGGAGCTGCAGTCCCAGCTTGGGGACTGGAGCTGCAGTCCCAGCTTGGGGACTGGAGCTGCAGTCCCTGCTTTGGGACTGGAGCTGCAGTTCCAGCTTTGGGACTGGAGCTGCAGTCCCTGCGTGGGGAATGGAGCTGCAGTCCATGCGGGGGACTGGAGCTGCAGTCCCAGCTTGGGGACTGGAGCTGCAGTCCCGGCTTTGGGACTGGAGCTGCAGTCCCAGCTTGGGGACTGGAGCTGCAGTCCCAGCTTGGGGACTGGAGCTCCAGTCCCTGCTTGGGGACTGGAGCTGCTGTCCCAGCTTTGGGACTGGAGCTGCAGTCCCAGCTTTGGGAATTGAGCTGCAGTCCCTGCTTTGGGACTTGAGCTGCAGTCCCAGCGTGGGGACTGGAGCTGCAGTCCCAGCTTGGGGACTGGAGCTGCAGTCCCTGTGTGGGGACTGGAGCTGCAGTCCCTGCTTTGGGACTGGAGCTGCAGTCCCTGCTGCAGTCCCTGCTTGGGGACTGGAGCTGCAGTCCCAGCTTGGGGACTGGAGCTGCAGTCCCGGCTTTGGGACTGGAGCTGCAGTCCCAGCTTGGGGACTGGAGCTGCAGTCCCAGCTTGGGGACTGGAGCTGCAGTCCGAGCTTAGGGACTGGAGCTGCAGTCCCAGCTTGGGGACTGGAGCTGCAGTCCCGGCTTTGGGACTGGAGCTGCAGTCCCTGCTGCAGTCCCTGCTTGGGGACTGGAGCTGCAGTCCCAGCTTGGGGACTGGAGCTGCAGTCCCGGCTTTGGGACTGGAGCTGCAGTCCCTGCTTTGGGACTGGAGCTGCAGTCCCAGCGTGGGGACTGGAGCTGCAGTCCCAGCTTGGGGACTGGAGCTGCAGTCCCAGCTTGGGGACTGGAGCTGCAGTCCCTGCTTTGGGACTGGAGCTGCAGTTCCAGCTTTGGGACTGGAGCTGCAGTCCCAGCTTGGGGACTGGAGCTGCAGTCCGAGCTTTGGGACTGGAGCTGCAGTCCCAGCTTGGGGACTGGAGCTGCAGTCCCGGCTTTGGGACTGGAGCTGCAGTCCCAGCTTGGGGACTGGAGCTGCAGTCCCAGCTTGGGGACTGGAGCTGCAGTCCGAGCTTTGGGACTGGAGCTGCAGTCCCAACTTTGGGACTCGAGCTGCAGTCCCAGCTTTGGGACTGGAGCTGCAGTCCCTGCTTTGGGACTGGAGCTGCAGTCCCAGCGTGGGGACTGGAGCTGCAGTCCCAGCTTGGGGACTGGAGCTGCAGTCCCAGCTTGGGGACTGGAGCTGCAGTCCCGGCTTTGGGACTGGAGCTGCAGTCCCAGCTTGGGGACTGGAGCTGCAGTCCCAGCTTGGGGACTGTTAAAGAGAGCACCATGGTCCAGCAGGACTTGACCTCCACTGATGAGCCTTGACACCACTCAACATGGGCCGAGTCTCACGGGGTGCAGTGCAGCAGACACTCACGCGAGGTTGAAGAGCGAGGCGTGGGGGCAGCAGATGGAGCCGTTGAAGAGCGGCAGGGTGGGGGGAATGCCCGAGAGAGGCATGGTCCAGAAGGACTTGACCTCCACTGATGAGCCTTGACACCACTCAACATGGGCCGAGTCTCACGGGGTGCAGTGCAGTGCAGGCACTCACGCGAGGTTGAAGAGCGAGGCGTGGGGGCGGCAGATGGAGCCGTTGAAGAGCGGCTGGGTGGGGGGGATGCCCGATAGCGCCATGGTCCAGCACGACTTGACGACCTCTGATGCCTCCTCCTCGCTGCCAAACGTGAACAGCTCGTCGCCCAACGCGCCTGACGCCTGTGTGTGGTGCGCAGAGAAAAAGAAAGGCAGGAGGAAGCCTGCACTGGGTGAGTGTTGTGCAAGGCACTGGTAGTGGTTCACGTGGGGGGGATGCCCGAGAGCGCCATGGTCCAGTCCAGCAGGACTTGACGACCTCTGATGCCCCCTCCTCGCTGCCAAACGTGAACAGCTCGTCTCCAAACGTGAACAGCTCGTCTCCGAACGCGCCTGATGCCTGTAAATTGTGTGCACCGAGCGATTGAAAGGTGGGATGCATGCATGCAGTGGGTGAGCGAGTTGCAAGGCAGTGGTGCTGCCTCACTGGTGTCTCATATCCGTGGCAACAGATGCAACAAGCACATGGGTGGCAACAGAGGCAACGAGCACATGGGTGGCACATACGCCCAGTCAAACCATGCCTGCAATTGTTCCCTCATGCCAGTGACTCAGTGCCCACCCACCCCACCCCACCTTAACCCATCTCACCACACCCCACCCCACCTTAACCCATCTCACCACACCCCACCCCGCCCCAATCCCTCCGCATCTCACCTGAACATGATCCAGCACGCCGTCCCCATTGACATCAGCGTGCAGGCCATGGTCGGGCAGCAGCAGCTTGCAGATGGTGCGACCGGAGTAGAGGTGGATGACCTCGATGCCCTCCTCCAGGTGAGCTATCACCGCGTTGTGCGCCCACCAGTGGTGCGCCGATGCATTGCCGTGTGCATGGTGCTGCGCATGCTGTGGTGAGGAACAGGAGAGAGGGTGGGAGGGATGGAAGAGAAAGGACTGGAGAGTGCCGGGAGTGTGAAAATGCGTTGAGATAACTGGGATGGATGAACACACCTTCAACTTCTCCAACTTGTCTCATCTCAGCCTTTTGTGTCTAAAAAAGATGCACCCTATTCTGTCCGTCCCTTCCCTCCACAGCCCTCACCTTGGCCTTTTTGGTCGACCCAGCAGCATCCACGGCCTTCCCCATGGCACGGGCAAACACGTTTCGCTCATGGTCTCGTCCAGCCAATAGCCTGGGGGGAGTGCTGTGGGGGTGTGCCGCGTGGTGCGGCTCCCCGTGCCTTCCACTCCCTAAACACTTCCCTTCTTTCCCCGTCCCTTCCCTCCCGCTCTTTCCCTCCCTTCCCTTTACCCCCATCCCATCCTTCACCTTGGCCTTCTTGGTGGACCCAGCAGCATCCACGGCCTTCCCCACGGCACGGGCAAACACGTTCCGCTCATGGTCTCGTCCTGCCAATAGCCTGGGGGGCGTGCCATGGGGGTGTGCTGCGTGGTGTGGCGCCCCGTGCCTGCCACTCCCCGGCAGGCGCTTGTGCATGCGGCGGCGATGGCGGTGAATGCTGGCGAGCTCGAAACGGGTGTCGTGGCGATGGTCCTGATGGTGGGAGGAGGGAGGGGAGGAAATGAAGGGAGAAGATGAGGAGGGGAGGTCGGTGGAGGAGAGAGACGTAAGAGCTCAGCCTGTGTGTGACAACGAGGGTGAACAGGAATACATTGAAGATGGGGGGACAAGAACATATCGAAATGGAAAGTGATATTATCTTCACCTGCAGGATTAGCGCAAACGCAGGTGGCCGCACATGAGCTACATGGTGGAGTAATAAGGTGGGCACTCACCCATCGGTGCGGCAGGTGCTTCAGGATGGACTCTCTGAACTCGCGACACTCCATCTGGTGATACACATGCCAGGGTGTGACACGGTGGCGTGTAGTAACGCGCGGAATGGAGTGGAATGGCATGGCATGTAGGGGGTTAGAGGAGGGAGGGGTTAGAGCAGAGAGCAAGAACAGCATGCGAAAATAATTGCCAAAATCACTCCACGATTTTTAAACCGACCAGAGAGGAAAACTTCAAAGGAACGCCTGAAAGTAACAGAGGATAGCAGGGCGGGGCAGCGCGGGGAAGGGAGGGGAGGGGCTGGGCAGGACGGGGGGGAGGGCGGGGCTGGGCAGGGCAGGGAATGGCATGGCGGGGCTTACCTCGCCAAAGTGGCGCGAGGAGAGGGAGGAGGCGTCGAGCTTGTAGTTGTGCTGCGGCAGCAGCTGCTGGCTCAGCGCTGACATGTCCCGATGGAAGTCCTGCTCGTACGTGTGGGGTGCAGGGTGTGGGTGGGGGGTGGAGGGTTGGTGGAGGGATGACTTTGGGTCGACTGACTAAACGGCAGCAGCTGCTGGCTCAGCGCCGGCATGTCCCGATGGAAGTCGTGCTCGCACACGGGGTGTAAAGGATGCACATGTGGGTAGTGGGAGGGCGTGAAGGTGGGAAGGGAGAGGGAGGGGGAGAGGAAGAGGGGTGCTGTATGTGTTGTCTCTTGAGACGTCTCAAATGTTGTATGTGTTGTCTCTTGAGACGTCTCAAATGTTGTATGTGTTGTCTTTTGAGACGTCTCAAATGTTGTATGTGTTGTCTTTTGAGACGTCTCAAATGTTGTATGTGTTGTATAGATAGGGAGGGCATATCGGGTGTATGTGCATGTGGGGAGAGGGCGTGGGGAGAGGATAGTGGGGGGAAGGGAGGGGGAAAGCGTTGTTGCGTGGAAAGGCCAGGGTGGAGTGGAAGAGGGGGATATGGAGAGTGAGAATAACCTCTTAGAGGGAACACGGAAAGACGCAAGTGCTTGCTGAGAACAGAGGCAGCAGATGCACGAGAAAGTGGAGGAGGGATGGAGGGGAGCAATCTAACACAGTGCGCACAGTGAGGAGCTCTGGCAGACATTCCAACCCTTCCACGGCATTCCCACATCTCCACCCTTTACCCTGCTCAGTGCTGCACCTCCAGCAGCATGCTATGCCCCACCCTGCCGTCTAGCCCTTTCGCACCTTGCTGTCATGCTTCCAGCGCATGGCACCAGTGGCCCCATCAAAGGCATAGTAGGAGAAGTGGCGCTCGTTCACCCCTGCCGCCCCCTCCGACACGTCCTCCAGCTCCTGCCCGCACAACAGGGAGGGGGGATACGCACAGCAGAAGGAGAAATACAGCAGGGGGGGGAGCACAACACGGGCCCAGATAAGTGCCCGTCCGAGAGTGAATGCACAGCATGTGCAGGAGAAAGTGAGAAGCGTGCGTTGCGTTGCAAAAGAACACTCAATGCCAGAACAGTGGGGGAGCGCACGTAGGGAAGAGAAGGAGGGTGCATTGGGAGGGAGAAGCACTGGGTTGGCTGGGATGGGACGGCATGGGTGGGTGGGTGGGTGCTCACATCCTTGTCTCCAGCCTCCTTGCGGTGCTTCTCCTCGCCCTCCTCCTCCGCTTCCTCCTCCTCCACTGGGTCCTCGAATTGCTGCTATGCCACAGGGTAAAAAAAAAAACACACACACACACACACACACACGCACACACACACACACACACACACACACACACACACACACACACACACACACACATACACACGCACGCAAGCACGCATGCACACACACACACACACAGACACACACACACACACACACACACACACACAAGCATGCACGCACGCCCGCCCGCACGCGCGCGCGCACGCACACACACGCATGCACGCACGCACATGCGCGCGCGCACACAGACACACATATTAACGCATTCGTGACTTTCCTTCCCCACAGCGCGTAACATAGATGGTAACCGATTGCAATACATGGACATTGAACCACGCACGCAGAAGCCAGAAGAATTGAACGAAGCATTGAACAAACGAAGCAGCCCAGGACTGAGCGGCCACCAATCCCACAAGCAAAGACATCCATGCCCCCCATATCACAAGCCCATCAATCCACACCGACTCCACCACACCCCATCTGAGACCAATCCCGGACCGGACCTGCTCCAAGCCTACGCCCTCACCAGCGGGTCTGACTCCATGGATCCGCCAACAATGACCACACCACGATCCCCCCGGTGCATGGTGTGATTCGCTATAAGCACCGCCACCTCCTTGTGCCTTGCGCCGTGGGGGAAGTGGTGCTGCACGCTGGTCTCCCACAGCAGCTTCAGGTTGTGATCGAAACACAGCACCGCCCACCCCGCCGTCACCACCGCCACCACCGCCTTGCGCCGCGGCACGCTCACCGCCTTGCCACTGCCCGCCTTCTTAGGGGGCTTTAAGGACGGCGGGTCCAGGTACCCCACTGCGAACGCCACCGCCTGATGGCCCGCTGGGTTCAACTCCACCTGTGGAGGGGGGAGTGGGAAAGGAAGGTAGGAGGGAACGCTCACTGCCTTGCCGCTGCCGAGCTTCTTGGGGGGCTTTACGGACGGCGGGTCCAGGTACCCCACTGCGAACGCCACCGCCTGATGGCCCGCTGGGTTCAACTCCACCTGTGGAGGGGGGAGTGGGAAAGGAAGGTAGGAGGGAACGCTCACTGCCTTGCCGCTGCCGAGCTTCTTGGGGGGCTTTACGGACGGCGGGTCCAGGTACCCCACTGCGAACGCCACCGCCTGATGGCCCGCTGGGTTCAACTCCACCTGTGGAGGGGGGAGTGGGAAAGGAAGGTAGGAGGGAACGCTCACTGCCTTGCCGCTGCCGAGCTTCTTGGGGGGCTTTACGGACGGCGGGTCCAGGTACCCCACTGCAAACGCCACCGCCTGATGGCCCGCTGGGTTCAACTCCACCTGTGGAGGGGGGAGTGGGAAAGGGAGGTAGGAGGGAACGCTCACTGCCTTGCCGCTGCCGAGCTTCTTGGGGGGCTTGAGGGATGGTGGGTCCAGATACCCCACTGCGAACGCCACTGCCTCTTGGCCCGCGGGGTTCAGTTCCACCTGAGGAGGGAGAGATTTGGGGGTGAGCAACGTAGGCTACGTTATTCACTCCGCATTCATCATTTACAGAGCACAATTATGAATGAGTAACACTGACCGCAGAGGTGGATGGTTTCTACTGGCATGACGAGGCCTCCGTGGGTTGGCTGGGGAACGATGGACTGGAGAGAGATGCGAGCAGCGAGCAAGGAGGGGGGAGGAAGGAGCGCACCTGGCCGGGTTGCAGCGAGACCTCCTTGAGCACGCGCACTGGATGGTATGACTCGCCTGACGGCGGCGTGAACGGCTCGATCACCTGCGCGGACAAGGAGAGGGACACGGGGAGATTCAGCAGGTCACCCCGACAAAGGTATCATCACAACCTCGTCGTCCGTACAAACTGAAAAAGATGAGACGGATTTGCGGAGTTTCTGATCAATCCGCAACATATCGGCAATCCACGCGGTACCTGCAGGCGCGCGTCTCTGGTGGCGAGGACGACCTTCTTGCGGCCGTCGCCGTTAGGATCTAATACCACTAGGGGACGATCCGCAATCCACCCCCTACCGGCGATCCACGCCCTACCTGCAAGCGCGAATCCCCACCTGCAAGCGCGCATCCCCACCTGCAAGCGCGCATCCCCACCTGCAAGCGCGCATCCCCACCTGCAAGCGCGCATCCCCACCTGCAAGCGCGCATCCCCACCTGCAAGCGCGCATCCCCACCTGCAAGCGCGCATCCCCACCTGCAAGCGCGCATCCCCACCTGCAAGCGCGCATCCCCACCTGCAAGCGTGCATCCCCACCTGCAAGCGCGCATCCCCACCTGCAAGCGCGCATCCCCACCTGCAAGCGCGCATCCCCACCTGCAAGCGCGCGTCCCCACCTGCAGGCGCGCGTCGCGGGTGGCGAGGATGACCTCCTTGCGGCCGTCGCCGTCGAGATCGAAGACCACCCGACAAGCAATCCACACCAGCGTACACTAGCTACCCTGCGATCCACGCGTCCCCACCTGCAGGCGCGCGTCGCGGGTGGCGAGGATGACCTCCTTGCGGCCGTCGCCGTTGAGATCGAAGACCACGGGCGGCGGCACCACGTGCGACTCGAGCTCCTGGTTGTAGTCGTCGCGATGCACGTGGAACCACGCCTCCCTGAACGTGAAGTTGCTCTCATGCTGCTCGGCTCAATCAGGGGAACGCGGAAAACGGAAAAAGAGGAAATGCACACGAATTTATGTGATAGTAGCGAAGGGAACACAAGCGCCTCGAGCTCCTGGCCGTAGCCAACCCGGTGCACGTGAACCGCACTCTCCTGCAATTAAGCTGATTTTATGCAGGGTCGTTCGAATAGGGAAGACGGAGACGCAACGTGAGATCGGTGACAGGAAATTTGATATTCGAAAGATCCGAAGGCAGTAACTTAACTCTTGAAACTGATCCGACACGGTATCTAAAATGCGGGAACGGATCGTTTAAAGAAGAGACGGTGACGGTTGACCGTCTTCGCTCCAGGCGAGATGGTAACGGACAGTAGTACGGTACCTGAAGACAGATGAAAACCGCGAACGCTGATATCAGGAGGATTCCCAAATCGCGCTTCCTCATCTTCGCGGATTGAAGAATTCCAATACGCAGTTTAATGATCGTCCTTAAGAACGAATACTAAGGAAGGATTTGGAAACGTCTGTTCTTCCTCGCTCTCGGATTCCTACGCCACGCGGATAAGACGGAGCAATCCCAAAGCCACATATATAGCGACAACCAGGGAGGGAATCCAAATCGGCAAGAAAGCCCTGCTGGATTCAATAATGAAGAGCCAGAAGCAGGAGATTCCCAAACGAACACCCAAACCAAGAACTCAAGGTACGGTACGGTACTCTGATGTATACCGTGGTTTGACACGGATTTTCGTGACGAGGGATGCGGATCCGTCGCCAGATCATAGGCAAAAGGAATGTCACTAAGAGTGGCACTCGTTACAGAGTTTGGTATGGGTGTGTAGCAAAATCGCTTGACCTGGATACTACACAAGTACGGTATGCATCCCATCATTTTATGCAACCACCTTTTACATGACACATTCAAGATAACCCGTATCAATGAAAAAGTGGGAGATTATTGGAAACTTCAACGTCCTTCAACTAGGAACATGTCGAGTGTAGGTTCATATGCGTGTGCGGTGCTCTTCCACAAGTGCCCCCTTATATGGACGAAAAACTACTCTGCCGAAACGCATCGTACCCCCACAGGCCCTCCTCCTTCCTCTTCTCCTCGCACTTGTGCGACAGAATCGGCACCACCCGCGCCCGGTACCCTGCATACCCCAGCTCCTCTGCTGCCCTCTCCGCATCCTCCACATAGAAAGCTTCGCCTAAGTCCATAATAAACCTCAGAAGGGTCTTCTTCCTACTCCCTCTCCCCCCCTGCAACTCCTCCCTGCCACCACCCCCACCACTCCCACTGCTATCTCCCCCCGCTTGCCTACCTCCCCAGCCAGACCCCCCCCATCCTGCACCCGCCCACTCCCCATACGGCGTTGATCCCTTCTTTGCAACAATCTCCCTTGGCATGGCATGAGTGTCAGGCCACACACGCACCACCACCGGCACGGCCCCTGCCGCACTCACCCTCTGTTGGCGCACCCAGTGCTGCACCTGAGGCTCCACATCCCTCTGCACGTCCTGCTGCATCACCCGAGCTTCATGCCTGTTGTCCGCATCCCGCCTCACCTGCTGAATTGTAGATCTGAGTGCGTGCAAGTGCTGGGGATCCTTCCCTTCCTGTGCAGTCAGGTCTACACGCACAAACTGGGCTGTGCTGGTGGGCACTGCTGCTTGCACCACCAGCTGGAGTCGATTAATGGCGGGGGGTGCCAGGGGGAGGGTGTGTCCGGCGGAAGTGTCATCCTGTCCTTCTGTGTCTGACTCTGCTCCTGCTGCTGCTGAAAATGACAGTGATTCCTGTCTGGCAGCCACATCTGCTGACCCCTCTTCTTTGCTGCTGCTGCTGCTGCTGCTGCTATCACCGCTCCCAGCAGCAGCAGGCGAATCATCCAACTCCACATCAACAGTACACCATGCCAGTACCGTCGCACCCTTGCTCAGGCTCGACCCGTACCTGGCAAACACGTCCGGAAACACCACAGCTTCCAACTGCCCCGTCCCATCATCCAACTGCAGATTCGCCATCTGCTTGTTGCTATTCTTAGTCATGCGCACATTAACCGCCTCTACCATCGCCACCACTGCCACCAACGGCCCGTCCTTCCCACCTTTCCCGCTCCCACCGCCCCTCCTCCTCCTCCCACCACCTCTCGCCGCTGCCGCCGCAGCAGCAGCACTATCTTCCAAAGCCTTAGTCAAGCCTACGTGGGCGCAGGATGCGAGGGGGGTGAGAGAGAGCCACTCGGGGAGGGAGGGGAGGAGTGCCTCCACGGGGTGTTGTGTGACATAGAAGCCTAGCAGGGCTTTCTCCTGTGCTAGCCTCTCCACCATCTCCTCTTCTTGCAGGGGCCGTCGCAGGATGAGTGCTGCTGTGACGGACTGGGGGATTGGAGGAGGCGGGGGGGTGATGAATGCGGGGATGGTTGTGGTAGTAGTTGAAGTGAGGGAGGGGGCCGTGGTAGGAGGTGGAGAGGTGGTGATGACTGCACCGTTGGATGCACTGCTGGGATCAACACCAGCTGCAGCTTCTGCCATGACGGAATCGGCTGGAGTCACGGAATTGTCAGCAGCGGCGGTGTTGGCTGCTGTGGCACTATTGTCAGTGGAGCTGTCATTAGTTTCACTGCTGCTGGTGTCGCTGACAATGCTATCAGTGCTACTGCTGCCGTCACTGCTGCTGTCTGCATCGTTGCTACTCGCAGCAGCTTCAGTCACCAGGGGCACATCACCCAACACCACAGCAGCCTCCTGCTTGCTCCCTCTCCCCTTCCCCTGCAGCATCTTTTTCTGCTCCCGCTCTATCCTCTGCTGCTCCCTCTTCCGCTCCCTCTCCACTCTCTCCCGCTCCTTCTTCTCCTCCCTCGCCTGCCTCTCCTGCTGCCTCTGCAACTCCTTTGCCGCCTTCTCCCGCTGCTTCTCCTCTCGCCGTTGCTGCATCGCCAGTTCCCTCTCCCGCCTGGCAACTGCCTTGATCTCCGCTTTAATCCTCTCCTTTCGCCCCTTCACCAGCCCTTCTAGCAGCTCCGCCAACCCCTTCCTATCCACATATACCTCCTCTCCCCCGTCTCCCCCTCTCTCTCCTCCCTCGTTTCCCACTCTCTCTCCTCCTTCCACCCCCTCCGCCTCTCCCACTCCCCCTCTCACCCCGTCACCCTCTCCCGCTTCCACCATCACTCCCTCACTCCCAACCCTTCCTCCCTCTCCTCCCCTGTCTCCCCCTCCTCCTCCCTCTCCTCCCCTGTCTCCCCCTCCTCCTCCCTCTCCTCCCATGTCTCCCCCTCCTCCTCCCTCTCCTTCACCCAGAATTAAGCAATCCAGAGCGCCTGAGTGCGCAAGGGCATGTATGGTGGGTCTCTTCCACATGCCCAAGTCAATCCGGTCAACCAGGTCCTGAATACTGACAAACCTGCCGCCCGCCTCCCGCTTCCCAATGATCTCCTCTGCCGCCGCCCTGCTGACGTCCCGAATGCCCGCCAGCCCAAACTGAATCCCGCCGTCCGCAGCTGACGTGGCAGGGCCAGACGGCGACACCTGTCCAAAACCCTCCGCCCGCTCCTCCTCCCCCTCCATCCCCGTTTTAAGCAGCTCCACAGAGAAATCATAAGCCGACGCGTTGACAGACGGAGGAAGGATGTTAATCCGGGCAGCCCGGCAGGAGTTGACGTAGCGGCGGAGGGTGGGGGGTTCGAGCATGGAGGTAGAGAGAAGCGCGGCCATGTAGGGCAGGGGGTAGTTGGCTTTAAGAAAGGCTGTCACGTATGTGAGGTACCCATAGGCTGCACTGTGCGACTTGTTGAAACAATACTGCGAGAATTTCACCATCTGTTCGAACAAATCCTCTGCCACGGCCCTTTCCACCCCTCTCTCCACAGCCCCCTCCACGAATCTCTCGTGGTGCGCCACCATCTCCTCCTGCTTCTTCTTCCCCATGGCCCGCCTCAGCATGTCCGCCTGCCCCAGGGAGTACCCCGCCAGGTCCCGTGCCATGCGCATGATCTGCTCCTGGTACAGCAGCACTCCGTACGTTTCCTTCAGGATGGGCTCGAGCTTGGGAGTTTGGAAGGAGACGGGTTCCCGCCCGTGCTTCCTGTTGATGTATCGATCAACTAGGCCCGCATCCAAAGGTCTGGTAGGGGGAACAGGGGGTGTCGGGGGGGTGGGGATGGAGCAGAAGGGGGTAAGCGGAGTGGGGGAGTGCAGGCACCATGTCAGCCTGCCCCAGGGAGTATCCCGCGAGGTCCCCTGCCATCCGCATGATCTGCTCCTGGTACAGCAGCACGCCGTATGTTTCTTTCAATATGGGCTCGAGTGCAGGGGTCTGCAAGGACACTGGTTCCCGCCCGTGCTTGCGGTTGATGTAGCGATCCACTAGACCTGCGTCAAGGGGGCTAGTAGGGGGAACAGGGGATGGTGGGGTTGGGGATGGAGCATAAGGGGGTAAGCGGAGTGGGGGAGTGCAGGCAGCATGTCAGCCTGCCCCAGGGAGTACCCCGCCAGGTCCCGTGCCATACGCATGATCTGCTCCTGGTACAGCAGCACTCCGTGTGTCTCCTTTAAAAAGGGCTCTAGGGAAGGGGTTTGGAAGGAGACTGGCTCGCGTCCGTGCTTCCTGTTGATGCAGCGATCCACCAGACGTGCATCCAGAGGGCTGGTGGGGGTCCAGGGGGCAGTAGGGGCGGGGATGTGAAAGGGGGAAACAAGGGGGGAAAAGGAGGAGAAGGTGGGTCAGGAGGGGAGAGAGAGTGCAGGCACATATCAGCCTGCCCTAGGGAGTATCCCGCGAGGTCCCGTGCCATGCGCATGATCTGCTCCTCGTACAGCAGCACGCCGAACGTTTCTTTCAATATGGGCTCGAGTGCAGGCGTTTGAAAGGAGACGGGCTCACGTCCGTGCTTCCTGTTGATGTAGCGATCCACCAGACATGCGTCAAGAGGGCTGGTGGTGGTGAAGGGGGGAAAATGGGGGCAACGGAGGGGCCAAGGGGAGCAAGGTCTCGTTAATCTTGGAAACTGCCCACCTTTTTGGGTCGACCTTTTTGGGTCTCATTATTCTTGAGTCGACCCAAAAAGCCTGCCACTACTCCTGCCTCTAGTTACTCACCCAGGCCGATAGAGTGCGACGATGGCAAAGATGTCCGCGAGGCATGACGGCTTGAGCGCCCGCACCACCTTCTTCATCCCAGGAGACGCCTCCAGCTGAAACACCCCGTCCACGTCGCCCCCTGATAGCAGCTCAAACGTTGCGCGGTTCTCCACAGGAAGCTTCTCAATCACAGGGAGGGTCACGCCGTACGTGCGCTGGGCGAGCAGGCGGGCGAGGTGGGCCGTGGTGAGATTGCGCAGACCAAGAATGTCAAACTTGAGCAGGCCCAGGCGTTCCACATCGTCCATGGCGTATTGGCTGACCAGCGCGGAGGGATTGCCTGGCGCGTGCTGCACTGGCACCACCTGGGGGGAAGGGGTGCCACATGATGCAGTGTCTCAGAGGTTAGAGGTTGCGCAGACCCAGAATGTCGAGCTTGAGCAGGCCCCGGCGTTCCACATCGTCCATGGCGTATTGGCTAACCAGAGCGGGGGGGTTGCCAGGCGCGTGCTGCACTGGCACCACCTGGAAAGAGGGGATGAGTGGGAGGGGGGGGTGACAGAGAGAAAGATGCAAACCCCCCAGGATGTGGAACTTGAGCAGACCCAGTCACTCTACGTCGTCCATGGCGTACTGGCTGACCAGGGCTGAGGGGTTGCCTGGGGCGTGCTGCACTGGCACCACCTGGACAGAGGGGTTTTGGGGTGTCAGGAATTTGCAGTGCCTCAGAGGTTAGAGGTTCCGGAGGTCGATAGTGTCGAACCAGTGGAAAGTGTGAGAGTGTGGGATAAGAAAAAGGAGTACTGACCTGGGAGAGGGGGAAGCAGGCGGGCGAGATGATGATGCCGGCTGCATGCACGCCAAAGGAGCGGTTGGTGCCCTCCAATAGCTGCCCCAGCTCCACGCATTGTAAGAGCTGTGCACGCACAGGGGAGATGCAGGTGGGTGGGTGAGGAGGAACAGGGTTGTGGGCATGACTATTGTGTTCCATCAGACCAGACTCAGCCAGGCGAACGGTTGGTGCCCTCCAACAGCTGCCCCAGCTCCACGCATTGCAGCAGCTGCAGAGGCATGGAGAACAGACGGGCAAGAGAGAAGTACAAGAGGCTTGCATGCAGAGCAACTGTTGTTATTAGTAAACAGGTGGCTTGCATGCAGTGCAACATAGGTACGGGTGAATGTGATGTGAAGGCGCGAAGAAAGTGTGAGAATGGTGAAAGAAATGAGCGAGGAGTACGAGGAGAAGGTGAGAAAAAACATGGTGAGACAAGAGGAAATAGCAGCAGGAGAAGGAAATAGCAACGAGCTTACCATGGCGTCCCTCTCCACGCGTCTCCTGAAGGGCGTGTCCTCCGCCATGAGGGTTTTCAGCGACACTGCCTTGCCTCTCTCCACTGGCACCTGCACTCAATGGACGGGTGAAGCAACAGGTAGCAGGTAGCATACGGAGTTGAGTCCGCCATGAGGGCGCTCAGTGACACGAATGGTCCTTCATTGATATAGTCATGGGCGCTCAGTGACACCGCCTTGACCCTCTCCACCGGTACCTGCCGTCATTGCACACGTGGTGGAGCAACACGTGGCATGGGTCAGGCAAGTCATGCAGCGCATGGCAGGTGGAAAGGGCATTGGGAGTTGAGGGCACCATGCGTCTGTTGAGACGTCTCAAAAGGGGGAAAGGGCACATGGAGTTGAGTCACTGCCACCACGCGTATGCTCAGTGACACTGCCTTGCCCCTCTCCACTTGCACATGCCATCAGTGCACACGTGCAGATTGGATTCACAGGGCATTCGAGGGCATTGAATGGCTTTGGAGGGCATTGGAGGGCATTGGAGGGCATTGAAGGGCATTGGAGGGCATTGAAGGGCATTGGAGGGCATTGGAGGGCATTGCAGAGCCCGTTACCATTACGCACTCCCGTTACCATTACGCACCCCCGTTACCATTACGCACTCCCATTACCATTACGCAACCCCGTTACCATTACGCCCCCCCGCTACCATTACGCACTCCCGTTACCATTGCGCACCCCCGTTACCATTACGCACCCCCGTTACCATTACGCACCCCCGTTATTATTACGCACCCCCGTTACCATTACGCAACCCCGGTTACCATTGCGCACCCCCGTTACCATTGCGCACCCCCGTTACCATTACGCACCCCCGTTACCATTACGCACCCCCGTTACCATTACGCACCCTCGTTACCATTACACACCTCCGCTGCCATCACGCACCTCCGCTACCATCGCGCACCTCCGTTTCCATTACGCATTCCCGTTAGCATTACGCACCCCTGTTACCATTACGCACCTCCGTTACCATTACGCATCCCCGTTACCATTGCGCACCCCCGTTACCATTACGCACCCCCGTTACCATTACGCACCCCCGTTACCATACGCACCCCCGTTACCATTACGCACCCCCGTTACCATTACGCACCCCCGTTACCATTACGCAGCCCCGTTACCATTACGCACCTCCCGCACCTCCGTTACCATTACGCACCCCCGTTACCATTACGCACCCCCGTTACCATTACCCACCTCCGTTACCATTACGCACCTCCGTTACCATTACGCACCCCCGTTACCACTACGCACCCCCGTTACCATCACGCACCCCCGTTGTCAGGATGTTCATTGGAATTGCCATGTCTCGCCCCATGTCCTGACCAGCAGTATGTCCCACACCCTGCTTTACCTCCTCCCATTCTCTCACTCACCAGCTTCGTAAGTTCGTACAGCAGGTTGAAAGGAATCTCCAAGTCGTACCCCACGTCCTTCGCAGGACATCAACGCATCCAACTATTCACACTTGCACCCCCTCTCGTTATCCCCCTCTCACCAGCTTTGTAAGCTCGTTCATGATGTTTAAAGGGATCTGCATGTCGCACCCCACGTCCGTGAGCACAGCACCCCCTCGCATTCTCCTCCTCTCACCAGCTTCGTGAGCTCGTTCATGATGTTTAAAGGGATCTGCATGTCGCACCCCACGTCCGTGAGCACAGCACCCCCTCGCATTCTCCTCCTCTCACCAGCTTCGTGAGCTCGTTCATGATGTTTAAAGGGATCTGCATGTCGCACCCCACGTCCGTGAGCACAGCACCCCCTCGCATTCTCCTCCTCTCACCAGCTTCGTGAGCTCGTTCATGATGTTTAAAGGGATCTGCATGTCGCACCCCACGTCCGTGAGCACAGCACCCCCTCGCATTCTCCTCCTCTCACCAGCTTCGTGAGCTCGTTCATGATGTTTAAAGGGATCTGCATGTCGCACCCCACGTCCGTGAGCACAGCACCCCCTCTCATTATCCTCCTCTCACCAGCTTCGTGAGCTCGTTCATGATGTTTAAAGGGATCTGCATGTCGCACCCCACGTCCGTGAGCACAGCACCCCCTCTCATTATCCTCCTCTCACCAGCTTCGTGAGCTCGTTCATGATGTTTAAAGGGATCTGCATGTCGCACCCCACGTCCGTGAGCACAGCACCCCCTCTCATTATCCTCCTCTCACCAGCTTCGTGAGCTCGTTCATGATGTTTCAAGGGATCTGCATGTCGCACCCCACGTCCGTGAGCACAGCACCCCCTCGCATTCTCCTCCTCTCACCAGCTTCGTGAGCTCGTTCATGATGTTTAAAGGGATCTGCATGTCGCGCCCCACGTCCTTGAGCACAGCACGTGACCCCATGCGGTTGAAGGTTGCAATCTGTGCCACCCTGTGCGCGCCGTACTTCTCAGCAATATATGCCAGGATCTGACGGGGACAGGCAGGGAGAGGAAGAAACGTGGGAGTGGGAGTGGAAAGGATGTTGTTGCCATGCGGTGAACGTGGCGATCTGTGCCACCCTGTGAGCGCCGTACTTCTCTGCGATGTATGCCAGGATCTGACGGGGAGAGGCATGAGTGGGAACGGGAGGGGCAGAGAGGGTGCGTTGCGGGGCGGCTAAGAAGGGTGGGGCAGCGAGAGAAGGAATGGGTGCATCTTCTGTGATTGCAAGCAGGGAAGAGGCAACGAACCAAGTGTTTCTTGGCACTGCAGGTACCAGCAGTATCTGTATTCTTCTGCCCGATCCTGTGCGCGTCGCACACGTAACTTCTCGTGATCTTTCCCACTCACCGCCTTACGGCAAGCACTGCATTCCACCGCAATGCACCCACCTTATCCCGCCCGAGAGGGCAAAAGTCGGAGTCAATATCAGGAGGAGCCAGCCGTTCTTCGCTCAGAAAGCGCTCAAAGTACAGCCCTGTGGGGAAAACAAAGAGTGTTTGCAAAAGAAAAAGCGAGCACGGAAAGCGAGGGGATGTGTTGAGGAGCCAGCCGTAATTCGTTCAGAAAGCGCTCAAAGTACAGCTCTGTGGGGAGGAGCAGTGGAGTGGGGGGAAAGAAGGGGAGGCGAGCACAGAAGCGAGGGGATGTGTTGAAGAGCCAGGCTTCCTTCGTTCAGAAAGCGCTCAAAGTACAGCCCTGTGGGGAAAACAAAGTGTGTTTGCGGAATGGGAGTGGAGTGGGGGGGAAGGAAGGGAGGCGAGCACGGAAAGCGAGGGGATGTGTTGAAGAGCCAGGCTTTCTTCGTTCAGAAAGAGCTCAAAGTACAGCCCTGTGGGGAGGAGCAGCGCATTCGCAGAAAGAGTGATGGAGGGGAAGGAAGGGAGGGGTGCCGTGGAAAGCAGAGAAAGGGGGGATTTGTTAAATTTCCAGCCTTTCCTCGCGGACCAAAAAAAAAGAAGAAAAAAAACCTGAGGTATAAAATGGTTGCTGGAATGAGGGTAATATGAGAGAAGTTAGGGTTACAGCAACCATATTTTGGCCAATATCTTTTAGGCGCACGCGTGGACCAAGTCGCGCGCCTTGGCGTGGACGAAGGCGCGCCCGTGAACCAATGCGCGCGCGTAGACCATGGCGCGCCTGGACCAACGCGCGCGTCTGGACCAACGCGCGCGCCTGGACCAACGCGCGTGCGCCTGGACCAGCGCGTGCGCCTGGACCAACGCGCGCGCGCCTGGACCAATGCGCGCGCCTGGACCAACGCGCTCGCCTCTGGACCAACGCGCGCGCCTGGACGAAGTCGCGCGCCTGGACTGAGTCGCGCGCTTGGACCAAGGGCGCACGGGCGCAAGAGCGGGGTTGGCGCGAGGGCGCGAGGGCATGAGGGCGCAAGAGCGCAAGAGCGCAACGGCGCAACCGTGCAACAGCGCAATTTGAATAATGTCCGTTGAATTGAAAAAATATAAGGAGGGAGAGCATAGGGGACCCTCACTCACCATGCTCGATGGTAGGCATGAGCACGGGCCGGGCCGGGCCCGGCCCTGGTCGGGCCACGCCGGGCCCTGCAAAAAACCGGGCCGGGCCTGGCCCGGCCCGACCCGGGCCGAATCAGGGAGATTGTGGCCCGAGCCCGGGCATATGGTACTCGGGCCAGGGTGGCCCGACCCGGGCCGTGCAAGGCCCGACCCGGGCCGGGCCGGGTGGTCATTTGATGCAGTAGCTCATGCTTTAGGGCCTGCTTTTAAGTCCCATGGCCCTAAGGGCCCGATCCGGGCCGCGCTTCGAGGCGGGCCAGCCCGGCCCGGCCCGCCACGGGCCGAAACCCAAAATCTGAGGCCCGGCCCGGGGCAATTCCGGGCCGGCCAGACCCGGGCCGGGCCCAGCCCGGATTTTTGCTCATCCCTACTCGATGGGATCAACGAAAATGATCTCCAGCGCATATGCCACCAAGGATCCCGCTGCTGACCCAAAGCATGCGCACTTGACGTACGTGAGGGAGCGCATAAAGGGGCAGGGACCGCTCACTGACTCACCATGCTCGATGGGGTCAATGTAAATGATATCCAGCGCGTATGCCACCAAGGATCCCGCTGCTGACCCCCTGAGGGCGCCCGTTGGAGGGGGGACGGGGAAGAGGGGGAGTGGGGGGGAAAGGGAGGCAGAAGAGGGGAGATTGAGTCGACTACCATGCCTTTGCTTCCACCTAAAGGCCAAGGTAAGGACAAGACGTTTATGCCGACAGTGCGGCTTTGCCCGTTTACACTCTGCTGTAATCTGTTGAGATGACACACAATGACTGCTCAGAGCACAAAATAGCAGCACATCCCCAGGAATGCCGCTTCTGCGAGTGAACTTCATTCAAAAATAGCACACGATAAAAAGAGCCCCCTAGCAGCAGTGCCATGCCACTCGTTTCCGTTTATCTCATATGCCTGCCTCACCTGCCCTGTCCCATGAGAATGTAGTTCGGCTCGAACCACAAACCAAGCTTCATCCAAACGAGCCTCATCTGAGCAAGCCTCATCCCAGCGAAATACGGCATCTGGCTTACTCGATCAGTCCCCCGCCATCGGCGCCCTGCCTCACCTGCCCGGGCCCACGGGAATGTCGTTCCTGCGAGCAAACTGAATGATGTCCGCTACTATCTGCTCGGGGGTGAAGGGTAGGAGGGGCAGGGTGTGGCAGCAAGGGGCGGGGAGGGGCGGAGAGGGGCCGGGAGGGGCAGGGGAGGGGTGGGGAGGGGTGGGGAGGGGCCGGGAGACTTTTGAGTCGACTCAGAAGTCACCTAAAGCTGAACGATGTCCCCCACTATCTGCTCGAGAGGTGAGGGGCAGGAGCGGTGGGGCGTGGCGGAGAAGGGCAGGGAGGGGCAAGAAGCCTTTCGATTCAACTCAAATGTCAGTGACAATTGAATGTTGCCAGACACTATCTATTCGGGGGGGGGGGGACGGGCGGGAGGGGCGGGGAGGAGCGCGGGATTGTGCAAGCGGAGAGAGAGCTGCGATGGGAGGAACAAGAGGGGAGGGACAAGAGAGGACAGATAAGCTGGGAGAGAGCACAAGTGTTGCTAGCGAGATGCGGAGAGCAAGAGGTGGCAGAACGGACATACGAGGAAGTAGGCGGAGAGGCCATAGTTGCAAATGACCCTGAGTTCAAGGTCCAATCGCTCCCTGTACTGCTGCGGTACTGCTTCCCACGTCTGCACGCCCATCACTGCCTGCAGCCCCCTCCGCGCCTCACTCTGACAGGCACATCAGGCATGCACATAAAGGTGTAAACGAATACCAACATGCACACATGGAATGAACATGTGCCGGCATGGAGTAGCAATACCAGGAGGAAAAAGAAGAGAAGAGGGCGACGGGTAGGTAGGGGAGGAAAGGGTAAGTTAGCAGCAAGGATACTGGTAAGAGTGCTTGGAGCATGGGTAGGTGAGTAGAGGGGCAGGGGGGGCTGTATGTTGTGATGAGTGGCACTTATCTGCACAAGTTGGAAGCAAGTGTACAGCTGTGTTGTACATTCGAGGCATAAGCAGACAGAAACTCATAAAATCAGAAACTCAGAGGCATTGAGGTGAAGATGCCCCACTTGTCTCCTCTTCTCCCCTCTCCTCCCAATCTTCTCTGGCGTCGCGTCGCTTGACCCCTCCCTGCCCCCTCACTTCCCCATCCATCCTTTGCCCCCCTATCTTGTCCTTCACCCGCACGCACCTCAAGCCATGAAGCATCGGTGTGGCCGGGAGGCACGTCGAAGGTGGGCAGCTTTGTACCGGCCCTTCCCCCATCATTTCCGTAACCGTCCCTGTCCCTCTGCCCCTCCCCTCTCACATGCCCTCACCTCAAGCCATGAAGCATCCGTGTGGCCGGGAGGCACGTCGAAGGTGGGCAGCTTAGGCTTGGACGAGAAGAGGTCAGAGGAGTAGGAGGCCACCTGGGGTTGAGACGAGGGGAGGGGCGGAGGGAGGGAGGCGCAGAACAGGCTTCAAGGGCAGCTTGGGCTTGGACGAGAAGAGGTCGGAGGAATATGATACCACCTGGAGGAGGGGCGAATTTGAAAGAAGGGAGTCGCAGAACAGGCTTCAAGGGCAGCTTAGGCTTGGACAAGAAGAGGTCGGAGGAATATGATACCACCTAGAGGACGGACGAGGGGAGGGGCGAGAAAAGGGGCGAGGGGAGGGGCGAGGGGAGGGGCGAGAGGAGGGAGAGTCCATTGCATGTTGTGGAACATGTTATCAGAGGCTTAGGGTTGAACCAAGAGCCACGTGACAGCCAGACGGCCTCACCTTATCAGCAATGCGCAGGGAGTTCTCGAGTGCTGCCAAAGCATCCTCCTCCGGGAGAGTCCTCTGCAGACTCTCCAGCATTTCCTCTGCCGACTTGACGTACTCCTGTCCCCTGATGTGACGTGATGTGCGCATTGGGATGGCGCATACTGAAAAGTACTTTTGAAAGAAGCCCTGATGCAAAGTAATTCTCTTTTGTTTTTTGCAATGCGTAACCACCAATTCTGAGAATCAAATGACTGGAAGGACGTGAATAATGCTGGAAATGTACAAAACGGAGGCAACCAACCAACTCACGTGTACGCTTGGACAAGATTCTTCCCAGCCTGAAACACATGACGCACACACAAGGGCGGACGAGGTGAGCTGAGCATGAGCAGCAAATCATCAGTGCAGTGGAAGGCAAGGAGGGGAGGCGAATGAGGAGTAAAATATCACACAGGCATGAACATGGACATGCAAGAAGAACGTAACATAAGAGATCCCTTCAATGCACAAATCTGTTGTGGCAACGCAGAACCCAAGGGCACAGACCTTGACAGAGACGAGAGTTTGGTGCGCCCTGTGGTCTGCAGCCCAGGTGAAGTGAGAGTCGTTAGTGGCCACCAGGGGCACGCCCTGGGGGGGTGGAGGGAGGGGAAGGAGCATGTGTGGCAATGGGGGAGAAGGGGGGGAGGGGGGGGGAGGAATGGGGAGAAAGTGCGCCCTGTGGTCTGCAGCCCAGGTGAAGTGAGAGTCGTTGGTGGCCACCAGGGGCACGCCCTGGGGGGGTGGAGGGAGGGGAAGGAGCATGTGTGGCAATGGGGGAGAAGGGGGGGAGGGGGGGGGAGGAATGGGGAGAATGTGCGCCCTGTGGTCTGCAGCCCAGGTGAAGTGAGAGTCGTTAGTGGCCACCAGGGGTACGCCCTGAGCTGATGGAAGCCCTGAGGTGATGGAAGCAGGGGGAGGAGCAGGTGATGGAAGGAATGGGGCGAGAAGGTTTGAGAGGCTCTACTACAGTTGAGGAACGCATGAGAATATGAGCACCAGGGCAGTCCTATCCTATCACATGGTCGATTTTTTAGTCGACTCAAAAATCGACTAACAGGTGAGAATATGAGCACCAGGGCAGTCCTATCCTATCACATGGTCGATTTTTGAGTCGACTCAAAAATCGACTAACAGGTGAGAATATGAGCACCAGGGCAGTCCTATCCTATCACATGGTCGATTTTTGAGTCGACTCAAAAATCGACTAACAGGTGAGAATATGAGCACCAGGGCAGTCCTATCCTATCACATGGTCGATTTTTGAGTCGACTCAAAAATCGACTAACAGGTGAGAATATGAGCACCAGGGCAGTCCTATCCTATCACATGGTCAAGAGACCATCGCATCCCCCTCACCGTCTCCTGTGACAGCTTCAGCAATGCATTGTTGATCTTCGCGTTGACATCATAGCCGCTACCCAAGTCCATGCGCCCATGATCCATCACTTCAAGGTAATAGTCCGACCCAAACACCGATCGATACCTGCATGCATGCACGGACCAACGGGGATAGTGTGGCCCGGTATGGAGGGGGACTGGGGGTCCGAGCCAAGGGATGTAATGCATGGTCCATCACACATGGATAGTAGATGTGCCATTCGTGTACTTGCTTGCAAGCATGATGTGATGTGATGCAGCACATTCAAGGGATGGGCTCACCAGTCAACTGTGCTTCGAGCCTCGTCCATGCGATCCGCAATGATGGTACGTGGCACCTGGCATTGGCACACACAGAAGCAGAGAGGGATGAAATGAATACTGCTTGAAATCAATCCGCGTTTGAAAAACTGGGAGGGTGGAGAGAAAAGAGGAGATACAGTAACATGCAAGGTCAATACGTGATGTGATGCATGTATGTCCTTGCATTGGTATGCATGTGGCACAGACAACCTGCTGGCATGCATGTGGCACAGACAACCTGCTGGCATGCATGTGGCACAGACAACCTGCTGGCATGCATGTGGCACAGACAACCTGCTGGCATGCATGTGGCACAGACAACCTGCTGGCATGCATGTGGCACAGACAACCTGCTGGCATGCATGTGGCACAGACAACCTGCTGGCATGCATGTGGCACAGACAACCTGCTGGCATGCATGTGGCACAGACAACCTGCTGGCATGCATGTGGCACAGACAACCTGCTGGCATGCATGTGGCATGGCATCAACGCATGGATGTCTCACAGACCACCAGCGTACCTCCCCTGACATGCATCCACTCAGCACGATGAGCCCCTTCCTATGACGCGCCAGAAGCTCCCTGCAACAGCAACGGAATAGGGAAAGGTGGTGCAGGGGAACGTGGTACATGGCAAAGCTGCTTGAGAAAGCTGCTGCATACCTTGCATACGTATGTGAGTGTGGAAACTTGTCAAAAGCCTAGACGGTTCATGCCATGCCACATGCAACGCATGCGCACCCACCTTGTGATGCACGGGCGCCCTCGTGCCCCGTTGCCCTGCCATGAAGCGGAACCAACATCACAAACAGGAAAACACCGGATGGGATTTCACAAGTAACCCTCACCCGACAGTGCGGCAAGTGACTATAAGAACAGATTGGAACAGCGAAACAGCTGAGAAGAGGGGTCACGCCCAATACCTTGCTGCTCCCATTTCCGCTCCACGAATCCGTCTCACAGCAAGCATGCGCTACAGACTCACCACCATGCCATGCAGGTGCGAGATCGATGTGAGCTGCACCAGGTTACGATATCCCTCCATGTCCTTGGCCAACACTGTCAGGTGGTACCTGTGAGGTGGGGGGTGGGCGTATCGGGGAGGCACTGCAGGCGTATGAATAGAACAACCTCCCCTTCAGCTGCCCTTACCTTACATTCGAATGAATCATTTCTCTGCTTCCAGCCAATCCGCCCTCCATATATTCACCTTTTAACTGGGGGTGCTTTAACCGCCTTGCCCGCCCCACCAGCCTCCGCCTCCCCTGCCTGCTCCTCCCCGGCCAGCCCCTGCGCCACCTCCCCTCCTGTCACTCGCCCCACTTCCCCCTCCCCATGTTCGCTCCCCTTTACAGCACCATCAGCCTCCCCCTCTCTTTCCAATACCACCTCTCCTCCTCCTCCCCCGACCCCCTCCCTCTCCACTGTTCCCATCCCACTTCCCATCCCACTTCCTATCCCACTTCCCATCCCACTCTCCTCCCTCATCACCCCCTGCTCTCCTTGCTCCTTCTCCTCCCTGAGGGCCCGCGCGGCCTGCAGCAGAGCGGCTGGGGCCCCTTCTTCGTGCACGAGGTACATCTCGTTGCCGATCACGGGCTTTAAGCCCTCCGCCTCGCACATGCGCACAAGCTGCAGCGCACCGTACATCACTGCAGGGGGGTTCGAGACGGGGATGGGGGGAACGAAGGAATTTGCCACCCAGTAAGTACAGGTCGTTTCGATAATTCGCTTTGACTCTGACATGGTCTGGGGTAAATCACATGGCCTACAGGTCAGGTGATCGGGCTCCCACAGTCATAACTGCTGTGCTTCACAGCACACTCAGAACAAAGTGAATTTTGAAGCAACTCAATAGTCACAGCAGACTCACCGCCATGGTCAGTAAGGGCGATGCCGGGCATGTTGAGCTCCTTGGCTCGTGCTACCAGTCCCTTCAGCTGCCATCACGTGAGGCATGGAGCAGGAGCAAGAGGATGGGGAAATTCAGACTTTTGAGACGTCTCAAAAGTCAGGCATGTTGAGCTCCTTGGCTCGTGCTACCAGTCCCTTCAGCTGCCATCACGTGAGGCATGGAGCAGGAGCAAGAGGATGGGGAAATTCAGACTTTTGAGACGTCTCAAAAGTCAGGCATGTTGAGCTCCTTGGCTCGTGCTACCAGTCCCTTCAGCTGCCATCACGTGAGGCATGGAGCAGGAGCAAGAGGATGGGGAAATTCAGACTTTTGAGACGTCTCAAAAGTCAGGCATGTTGAGCTCCTTGGCTCGTGCTACCAGTCCCTTCAGCTGCCATCACGTGAGGCATGGAGCAGGAGCAAGAGGATGGGGAAATTCAGACTTTTGAGACGTCTCAAAAGTCAGGCATGTTGAGCTCCTTGGCTCGTGCTACCAGTCCCTTCAGCTGCCATCACGTGAGGCATGGAGCAGGAGCAAGAGGATGGGGAAATTCAGACTTTTGAGACGTCTCAAAAGTCAGGCATGTTGAGCTCCTTGGCTCGTGCTACCAGTCCCTTCAGCTGCCATCACGTGAGGCATGGAGCAGGAGCAAGAGGATGGGGAAATTCAGACTTTTGAGACGTCTCAAAAGTCAGGCATGTTGAGCTCCTTGGCTCGTGCTACCAGTCCCTTCAGCTGCCATCACGTGAGGCATGGAGCAGGCGCAAGAGGATGGGGAAATTCAGGACGCAAGTATGTATGACAAGCGCCAAGATCAGATCAGACCTGTTACTCGCAGTACTCGTTCTACTCGTTGAAAGGGGATACAAGGGCCTTCGCACGCACCTGGCTGGCTCCGTCTAGAAGGCTGAAGTCGCTGTGTGTGTGCAGGGGCACGTACTGTAGCTTCTCCGCCTTCTCCCCTTCCGCTTCCCCCAACCCCTCTCTCCCCTCCGCCTCCGCCTCTGCCTCAACCACCGCCGTTGCGCCTGCATCCCCCGCAATACCCTGCGCGTGCACCCGCCACGCGTCCCCCCTTAGCGCGATCCCCAGCCTCCGCTCATCGCGGGGGGATCTTGACAAGGGAGAGGATCCCGAGGTAAGGAGACCGCGGACGGACGTGGACAGGTTAGTGAGTGAGGTCGTGCGAGCGCGAACTAAGAATGACGGCGACAAACCCGAGACTGGGAGCGGAACGGCTATGACAGAGGACGAGATAGCTGGGAGGAGACGACGGGAATGCCGACGGCTGGAAGGTAGAAATGAGGTTGGAGTGGCTGACGTGGACAGTGAGCGAGACGGGGACTGATGCAGGTTCGCCACGTGGCATCCTCGTTCGTTGTTACAATTCGCGACGGCGACAGGTGTGCTGTGTAGGCTGCGCAACGGACGGCACGCGAGCGCGTCGGGCGGTACGCTTACGTGAAGCATCGCGAGTCTTCCAAGATCGAGCCTTCCGGATTCGACACCTTCTAGATTCACGCGCTCGCAGCGAGTTAAGCAGGTCGTCGCGAAATCAGATGATAATTCCTGCGGAAGCGATCGATAATTAGTGAGATAACGGGAAAGGAGCTTCCCAGGACGAACGGCTGATTTGGCCCTGGAATGGAGCATCTCAGAACATGGCGAGTGGCAGAAAGGGGAATGGCGGAAAATGGCTAGTTGAAGAGATTCATGTGAATAGCTTGCTCTCTTTCAAAAATCAAGGGGAGCTTCACCCACACGCTTCACTGAAGTGCTAGGACTGGAGATCCAAAGGCATCCGAGTTTCTGATGCGAAAGATTTCGATAGTGTAAATACACTGTACCGCAAGGTACTCGAGGTACAGTAAAACAGTCATGCTGAACCGCGGATCTGCATATGAAATTGAGATCTCCTGGGTTGATTTCGATTGTGTTGGGTTGGTCTGGGAGTCATTCTGACAGGTTCTGTTTGGCGCTGCGGGGGCTGATCCAGACTGGTCGTCAGATTCCGTCCGTCAATTGCCTGACTTGAATCTGGTTGCTCGGGTTTATATTTGGCTGAATCTATGGCATGAGGGAAAGCGAAACTCGAGGCACCGTAACGTACGCAGCATTCCACGTCCAAACGGCTGCAACTTATGTTCTTTCAGAACGTCGCCATTGTCTTAACGTTGCAGTCGTGCTGTGGCGCTTTCCGCACCAAATGTTAGCGCCACAGTCTAAGATGCTCGGTTTCAAACTTTCCACGATTTTGTGAATCTTCGTGAGCTAACCCAGAGGCGATTAAAGATGCCGATTGTTGCCGCTAAAGGAGGGGTTTCAACGGGGAGCGCCGGTTCGGCGAGCAGCGTTCCAAGGCGCTCGAATCCCAAGGGCCGTAGTACCAAACGTAGCATCCTCCCCGTCGCCTTGGGAATCTCCGCGTTTCTCACAGTTACCGTGCTGCTTTCGCCGTCGCTGCGAAGGCATTTGCGAAGCCTGGGGAGCTCAGAATCCGCTCTAGATGCCGGCGAAACCCGCGACAGCTATGGTCGCTCGACGACACACCAACACACAGACTCATCCTCTTCCCACGGAACATTATCTGAAAACTCTTCCTCCTCCTCCTCTTCCTCCTCCTCTTCCGCATCCTCCATCCCTCCGTCTCTCGCGGGTTCTCCGACCGATCCCACTCCGGCGTACCTCCGCCTATTAGCCAAGGATGAGTCTCCCTGCGTCAATCTCACCGGTCACAGATGCTCCGACCAGGAGATACGACAAGGCCCGCCGCCCGGAAGCATGGACGAGCCGGTCTTATCCGCCGCTGACGTGGCGCTGTTTGATAGGGTGCGGAGATTGTACCCCGACGGGCAGCCCAAGGGGAGCGGCCAGGGGGAGGAGGACCGAGTCGCCTTCTTATTCCTGACACGTGGACCCATGCCTCTGAGTAAACTATGGGAGAGATACCTTCGGGTGAGTTTCGTTGCTGCTGCAAGTGAGAGAAAGCAGAGTCCTTTTTGCAATTGAGAGGACCCATGCCTCTTAGTAGACTATGGGAAAGATACCTTCGGGTGAGATTCCTTGTTCCTGCAAAGCGTCAGAAAGCATTTTGCCTTTGCTTGCCACTCCAACCCCAACCACGGTTCCCCCACAATTCCCAGGGCCATCGAGGTGTTGATTCACCCACACGTAGTAAATTACATACGTGTGGTGTTGATACCCGTTTTCTCCACCATACCCTTGCACTCCCCTCATCCACCCAGCCCCCACCGCTTCCCCCACCGCTTCCCCCTCCCCCCAGGCCCTCGCTACCTTTCTAATCATTCCCGCCACCTCTCCCCATTTCGCCCCTCGCCCTCTCCTTCGCCCTCCAGGGCCACGAGCAGCGGTATTCGGTGTACGTGCATGCAACGCCAGGGTTCCAGTATCCCTTGGACTCGTCGCCTGTGTTCTACGCGCGGGAGATCCCCAGCGAGAAGGTGCAGTGGGGCGACCCCTCCATGGTGGCAGCGGAGCGACGGCTGCTGGCGAACGCACTGCTGGACCCCGCCAACAAGCGCTTCCTCATTCTCTCTGAGTCGTACGTGGGAGGGGAAGGGGGGGGGGGGGGAAGGGGATGGGATGAAGTGAATGCATGGGTGCAGTGGGGCGACCCCTCCATGGTGGCAGCAGAGCGACGGCTGCTGGCGAACGCGCTGCTGGACCCGGCCAACAAGCGCTTCCTCATTCTCTCTGAGTCGTACGTGTAGGGGAAGGGGGGGGGAAGATGGGTATGTGGGAGCGTGGGTGCATGGGTGGGTGAGTGGGTGGGTTGGCGCCTGGCGAACGCACTGCTGGACCCCGCCAACAAGCGATTCATTATCGTCTCTGAGTCGTGCGTTGGGATCAGATGGGACGAAATGAGTTAATGCGTGGGTGAGATGGGATGGGATGGGATGGGATGGGATGGGATGAATAGGTGGGTGGGTGGGTTGGGGGATGGGATGGAATGGGATGGGTGGGTGGGTGGGTAGGTTGGTCGGTGAGAGAGTGGCGAAGGGGAGGAGAACTCGCTGGTTTAGAAGGTGTTTCTCGACTGCCAAACTCATGGTTTGGATTTGGGTGCCTTCTCGCCCATCCCCCACCCCCCCTCCCAACAGGTGCATGCCTCTGCACGACTTTCCCTTCACCTATCGCTACTTGATGGCGGAAAACCAGAGCCTGCTGCACAGGTGGGTGGGCCAACGCGTTCATGCACTTTAATGCCTGCCTGCACTCTCAGCCATCTTAGGACTTCCGCCTGCCCACGCGCCTTCTTTCGACAACTCCGCCCTTGATTTCTGTCATCTGTGTTTCTGTTGCTTCTTACATGACCTCCGCCCTTGGTGCCTTCCCTCACCCCTCGCCCCGCGCCCATCAACCCCCTTGCTATGGCAGTGCGTGCAACAACGACTGGAACTGCATGGGGCACTACAGCAGTCGCATGCAGCCGCAAGTGCCAAGGAACCAGTGGAGCAAAGGCTCTCAGGTCCGTAATTGAGTGGGCTCGAATGCGTGTGCAGTTATGTCAATGCCTTCCCCCCTACCACATGGGGCACTACAGCAGTCGCATGCAGCCGCAAGTGCAGAGGAACCAGTGGAGCAAAGGCTCTCAGGTCCGTAATTGAGTGGGCTCGAATGCGTGTGCAGTTATGTCAATGCCTTCCCCCCTACCACATGGGGCACTACAGCAGTCGCATGCAGCCGCAAGTGCCAAGGAACCAGTGGAGCAAAGGCTCTCAGGTCCGTAATTGAGTGGGCTCGAATGCGTGTGCAGTTATGTCAATGCCTTCCCCCCTACCACATGGGGCACTACAGCAGTCGCATGCAGCCGCAAGTGCAGAGGAACCAGTGGAGCAAAGGCTCTCAGGTCCGTAATTGAGTGGGCTCGAATGCGTGTGCAGTTATGTCAATGCCTTCCCCCCTACCACATGGGGCACTACAGCAGTCGCATGCAGCCGCAAGTGCCAAGGAACCAGTGGAGCAAAGGCTCTCAGGTCCGTAATTGAGTGGGCTCGAATGCGTGTGCAGTTATGTCAATGCCTTCCCCCCTACCACGTGGGGCACTACAGCAGTCGCATGCAGCCGCAAGTGCTAAGGAACCAGTGGAGCAAAGGCTCTCAGGTCCGTAATTGAGTGGGCTCGAATGCGTGTGCAGTTATGTCAATGCCTTCCCCCCTACCACATGGGGCACTACAGCAGTCGCATGCAGCCGCAAGTGCCAAGGAACCAGTGGAGCAAAGGCTCTCAGGTCCGTAATTGAGTGGGCTCGAATGCGTGTGCAGTTATGTCAATGCCTTCCCCCCTACCACGTGGGGCACTACAGCAGTCGCATGCAGCCGCAAGTGCCAAGGAACCAGTGGAGCAAAGGCTCTCAGGTCCGTAATTGAGTGGGCTCGAATGCGTGTGCAGTTATGTCAATGCCTTCCCCCCTACCACATGGGGCACTACAGCAGTCGCATGCAGCCGCAAGTGCAAAGGAACCAGTGGTCCAAGGGCTCTCAGGTATACTCCATTCAATTCTGAGAACTCTTGGACATCGATCCATGATTAAAGGCATTAGTGGTCCAAGGGTTCTGCGATAGCCTTGCGCTCCTTCCGTTCCTTCCGTTCCTTTTATTCAACTCTTGACTGCTGAGCCCCTCGTCCTATCCCATGCAGTGGTGGGCGCTGACATGGCACCACGCCTTCCTTGCGGCCACGGACAGAACCATCTACCCCACCCTTGCCAGGTGGTGCAAGGTGAGTGCAGCGGAGTCGGGTGCCTTCCGTGTGGATGCTTGGCTGTGGAGGTGCTTCATAATTGTGCACCATAGATGCCCGTCTGTTCGACTATTACCTCTTGTCACTTAATCGGCGACAATGTCTTGTGTTTGTCTTTCCTGCCCTCCTCTCTCCACGTGTCCCCACATATCATTTCTTCCCTCGATCGCAGGGTGACAACTGGCACCGGCACTGCTATTTGGATGAGCATTATTTTCAAACCCTACTCAAGGTACTCCTATTTCAGAAAGAACCAGAATGTGCTATCAATTACCATTAACCCCTATATTCCTTCGCCTTCCTTCCCCCTTCACCACCACTGTCCCACCACTAGTTTCCCACTCTTGATTTACCTCCTGCCGCTGTTTCTTTCCCCCCTCATCCCCCTCTCGCTCTCTCGCCTCCCCTCCCCCCTCTCTCCCTCCCTCCCAAGATTCCTGACCCATATCACGTGGGAAGGAGAGGACCAACATGGGCGATGTGGTCAGGGGGGGCACACCCAGTGGAGTACACAAAGGAGCAGCTCGCCCCACTCTTCTCCTCTCCACCCTTCCTCTCCCCCCAGATCAAAGACCCAGACCACGTGGCGAGGAGAGGGCCAACATGGGCGATGTGGTCAGGGGGGGCACACCCAGTGGAGTATACACGGGAGCAGCTCACCCCGCGCTTCCTCACGTCTGTCAAGTGGGACTCCAAGTGCTCCTGGGGTGGTTACCAGAACTCCTGCTTCCTTGTTCTTAGGAAGATTGCACCCAGCTCGCTACAGACTCTGCTTAATTACACTCCAGAAGAGCTTGGTTACTGAATAAGCAATGTGATTGTTGGTGTATGGAGCATTTTTACATGATCTGTGTTTGATAGAGTAGGTTAAAAATGGTGCTGAGTGGGCATTTCGTGAGCTCCATGGGCTTGTCTCAAAAAAGTTCCTAATGGGAGCCGATTAGCCAAACTAGACCTTACACATGCATGCAGAGGCAGAGCAGAGACAACCAATCGTGCACATGAAGTTTTGGAACAAGCTACGGTAGTACGGTAGTAGTGGTGGGAGGGAGAGGAGCGGAATGGAGGATGACGTGGAATGCGAAGCTACATCCACTGATCGCGCAATGAAACGACACGACTAACGTACTGTAAATTCACACTGGTAACGCCACGCCCGTTCTTGTGCATGTACCAGGGGGTGCATGCACACCCTCACCTGTTTAGCATGCATGTGAACTTCGAGAGCTGAAACTACCGTATGTTGGAAGTCCTTATGTATAGTTCATTTGATTGGGATTTATCAGGTGTAGGTGAATGAGGTTGCACAGATCAGATACTAACATCCTTCGGCAACACATCACATCGCATTCAAACATTGACCTAGAGAGAGGAACGCATCGCATCGCATATTTAAGTTGCGCTCGGCCGTTCGATCAATCTGGTGGTGTTCTTAAAAACGAGAGAAGCATGAAGATCAACGACCACCATCACATCACATACGATGGTATGATGATGGGCCATGACGCATGTACATCATGGCGCCGTGTCAGAAGAGTGCCCTTCTGACAGACGATTCCCGCGAAAACGGCGGAACTGCAGGATTGCCGAGCTGCGGAGATTCCGAGGATCTTCTCGCAAAGCTCAACTCGAATTTTCGCGAGTCGTATCTTCCGCTAACGACAGGCCTACTCCCTTCGTCACCGCTATCACGAAACTGCCACCGTCCGCTGACGGCACGGCGGCCTCCACCTAGGCAGGGGAAATGGTAATCGGTCGTCGATGGTTTTTGTGAATCCTTCTTCACCACTCTGAATCCGTCCAGATGCCCTGGATTTCACTGATGGTAGCCTCTCACCCTGAAGTCATTACTCCAGCTTCTTTGAACTTCATTCTTTATAACCATGGTCACAGCAATTTGCTCGTTTATTTCTTGAGGATTAGCTCGCTTAGCTGAAGTCCATGGCTGTCGCCAGCTTGTTACGAACCATATTTGGTTCTCGATCGTAGTACTAGTCTTCTTAATCGTCAAATTCTTTTATCTTAAGGTCGTCAAGACGGAGATCACTATCGTTGCAATCCATGGCTGCGTCTACTGACTCAAACCAGTGACCCTTCTAACATAATCACAGCCTGATCTAGTCGGATAGAGAAAGTTAATGCATAGAAGTTGTAGTCATTCGGAGGAGTTTCATTTCCGTCATCTAGCATTCTCTTCCTTGACTGCAGTTCGGATTTCTACTCCAGTTTCCAGAACAACTTGGTTTAAGATCACGGTTCTGAAGTCTGGACACCATCTGAAGTGTGGACACTTTGTTAGCAATGAACACGTCTGATTGGCTGCCATGCTCCAAGATTTCTCGCAACTTGTGTAATGACCAATGATCGGGTGTGTTTACACGTCACTGAAGGAAAAATTTGGTTGATGGTGTCCAAGCTTCGCCCAGAACCGTGCCCTAAGTATTCTAGACGTCTGACGAGCGCGGACTATCGAGATGGTGATTTCTCGCGGTGACGATTTAAACGCTGGCCGACGCTGACTGTCGAGATGGCGACTTCTCCCGGCGGCGACTGACGCGACACTTGCCGACGCTGATTATCGAGATGGTGATGATTTTTCACAATGGCGATTTAAACGCTGGCCGTAGCAGAGGCGAATGCGAGGGCGATCGAATCACGCCAAAGTGGGAAGAGTGCATTCTGCTGCTGGACTGCTGTCTCGCTGCTTCTGTCGCCTGCGAGCACCCCGTTACGGCTAAGTTCCCTCTTCCATCCTTGCCGCTTCTGCTTCGTGTATATCATTGCCCACATCTGGTACACGTTTTTCCCTCCAGCATACTTCGAAAAAAAAGTTGAGTGAGCGATGAGCGGCGTTTTGGCGATGGTAGCGCATGGCACTGGGGCGGCTTGAGCTCATACTAGAGTCGTAGGGGGTTAGAGTAGAATGCATTCATACACATGCCCGCGTCCCTTCCTTACCTCGTCCCCCTTGCCTGCTAGCTCGCTGCCCTTAGTGCTGTGTGGTACCATCGCCTCCTCTTCCCAATGCGTCAACGTGCCACATGCTTTTTAGCTTCAGCTTTTGCTTCCGTTACTCATTCGTTCTTGTCATCTCTGCCTCCATGCATGCATTTCGCTGCTTTCTTGCTTCTACTGACTACTAGGGTTTCTTCCCCCTGCTCGCTCCTCTTGCCCTCCTTTGCTCCACCCCTCTCGTCCAGTGCTATGGCAGCGTGGTGCGGGGAGGGAGGGCGGTGGGATGACGCACGGCAGGCAGTCACAGCGGTGTGCGAGCCTCCTGGAAGCCTGACGCCACTGTCCTGCAAGCACCCCCATACGGCTAAGTTCCCTCTCCCTTCGCCCTTGCCATCCTTACCGCTTCTGCTTCGTGTTTTTCACTGCCTTTGATTGTTCAGCGTCTTTTCCTCACTGCATGTTTGAAAATACGAAATGAGAGACGTGAGACGAGCGTCAAAAGTTGAGCGAGAGGTGAGAGGCGTTTTGGCGAATGTAGCGCATGGCACTGGGGCAGCTTGCGCTCATACTAGAGTCGTAGGGGGATAGAGTAGAATGCATTCATACACATGCCCGCGTCCGTCGGCCCCCTTGCCTGCTGGCTCGCTGCCCCAGTGCTGTGTGCTACCATCGCCTCCCCTTTCACAGCGTCACCGAGCCACATGCTTTCTATATTATGCTTTTGTTTCCGTTTCTCATTCGTTCTTGTTATCTCTGCCTCCTTGCATGCGTCTCTGTACTTTCTTGCTTCTACTTACTACTTTGCTTCCTTTACCCCACTCACTCCTCTTGCCCTCCTTTGCTCCACCCCTCTCGTCCAGTGCTATGGCAACGTGGTGCGGAGAGGGAGGGCGGTGGGATGACGCACGGCAGGCAGTCACAGCGGTGTGCGAGCCTCCTGGAAGCCTGACGCCACTGTCCTGCAAGCACCCCCATACGGCTAAGTTCCCTTTCCCTTGCCCTTGCCATCCTTACCGCTTCTGCTTCGTGTTTTTCACTGCCTTTGATTGTTCAGCGTCTTTTCCTCACTGCATCTTTGAAAAAACGAAATGAGAAACGTGAGACGAGCGTCAAAAGTTGAGTGAGAGATGAGCGGCGTTTGGCGATGGTAGCGCATGGCACTTGGGCAGCAACTGCAACCTCTGGGGGCAGCATGGGAGGAGCAGCACCTTGCACCCATCTTCTCCACCCACCTGCTGCTTTCCTCCCGCCGCCCCTCGTTCCTCCTCCAGCTGCTGCCAGCGTTCCTACCAAGGGACACTCCCTGGGTGATAGCTTCCCAAGCTTACACTTCGCGAGCGAATCTCCCCTCTACAGTTTGCTCTCTCGTTTCTCACTCATGCTTTTGTCCAGATGTAACTGCTGTTGTTGCTTTTTACCTTTCATTTGCTGACTCACTCCCTTTCTCTGCCTCTTTCACCTGTCCCTCTGCGCTTCCCCTTCTTTCATCCCAACAGCAAGAATGCAGTGGGTGTAGGAGGGTGCAAGTGCAACAGCAGCATACGTGGTAAGATCTGACTTTCGTTTTTATTCTGTTCCTCCTTCCTTCACCTTGTTCTCCGTTATGCAAGTCTCCTGTCCTGACGTTCTTCTCTCCTACCACTCCTTCACCTCACTGCAGGCTGTAGATCTACCTCTGTCTCAAATGTTTGGAATCAGAGGAGGGCGCAGAGAAAGCAGACAAGTGGGAGTCGAGATAAAGGAGCAGAGATGAGGGAGAAGATTCTTCATGTGGTTAGTCTCCTCTGACAGATCTTCTTCCCTCGCATTTGCAGACTCGCTCCTTTGGTCCTTTACAACCACTACACGTTACTACTCCGCTATGCTTTCATCTTTCTTTCGTTCTGTCTATCTCCCCATTTGCTTCCTTTTCCTGCCTCCCATTCACTTATATCCGCCCCTTCCAGTCTGCTCTGTATGAATGCACCTTCAACCTTTTCTCTCAATGATTTCCTCCTTGTGTCCCTTCCACTAGGCGAGGACAGCAAGGTGAGACAGCAAAGGGGCCGCTGAAGGGAACACAATGGGAAGACACGACTTGGTAAGCTCCTCATGCTGCTCGTCAGTTTAGTCTCCCTTTCCACTCCTATTCTGTCACAGGGAGCAACAGTCAAGTGGCATTCGCATGTTGCATGCTAAGATCCCAGCCCTCTCTCTTTCTTATTTGAACGTCGTCAATTTCTCGGTTCTTCCTCTCCTCTTTGTTCACATGCGTTTTTCCCTCGTGTTTCCTCTTTCAGGTCTGATCAGTGGGCGGAGCAACACTCTGGCAGCAGCAGTGCAGCACGAGTGTGCGTAAGAAAAGTACTTAACTTGTGGTGAGTTTCCGCACCCACCCTTTTTCTTCTGCACCACACTTGCATGGCGCGCCAATAGCCCTTCCATCCCCACACTTCCTGTCCATGTCTCACAGACCTTTTCATTTCATGCCTGCTTCTCTCTCTGCCCAGCAACACAATTCGCTGTGGCTGTCTGGTTAACAAGAATGGAACCACAAGCTTCATCCTGAGCCTTCCACATGCTCATGTCCTTGAATCTTCTCTCTCACTGCTTCGTTTTGGGTGTGTTGCTGACATGACAGGATCGGACTGGTGAGGCAGGGATTGCGATTCTTTGTGAGGAGAGGCCAGCTGGTGACGAGCTCATCATTGTTCTCTTGAAGGTGAGCATCGAGCAACCAAGGTCATCTTTGTCTGTCAAGGTGAGCAAATAGCAACCAAACACAGACTGAACTTCAGAAACAGCTGTCATATCATATCAGATGTCTTATCATATGTACATTGTGTGGGTACCCAAACCATGTGAATCATGTGCCCGAATCGGGCAACACCTATCATTTCATGTCATACCTGGTTCTACTATGTAGAGAAGCTAAACTCTTGTCTGCATTGCCTCCTCCTCTCGTCTGTTTGCAGTACAGCCGAAGCAGCTCCGATTGGAATTCAAGACAGAAGATGAAGACCACATATGCTAGAGCTGCAGCGTATAGGATAGAAAAGGTTATCTAGACTAGTGACGCTCTCAGGTATGGTATCCCCCCCTCTCCCCCTGCGTAGCACTCCCCCCACACCCCTCTTCCCCTGTCCCTTTCCCAACCCCTTCCCCTTCTCCCTGGGTTGGTCCTCTGCGTGCCTCCCCCTGCAACCCACCTCCTTGTGCGACCCACCTCCCCATGGGACCCGCCCACCTCACCCACCCCCTGCGTAGGGCAGGCACAGAGCTAACCACAGGGCTAACCACAGGGCTGATCACAGGGCTGATCACAGGACTGACCACATGTCAAACTAAGGAATTGATGATGCATTGATGTTGGTTGGGGTACAAGTAGCAAACCCTAACTTTGTACTCCCTAAGACAAACCTCACTATAGGCTACCACATTTGACACACCCCCATAGCCTAGGTGAGGGGTGTCTAGCAGAATCAAAAGAGTACGGTCACAAGACCAGTCCAAGAAACAAAGGATCACAACGTCATCACACACTCTGAGCACAAGCACCAGTGGCCACAAGGCCAGTCCAAGATATAACAAAGATATATAGAAAGCGTACAAGCAAAGTAAACAGTGCACTCAAGTCTAAGCAAGACGAGAACCAGTGTCAACAAGGCCTAACTGCACACAGCACCTCTGGTGGTCACAAGGCGCAAGCGCCTTGGTGAAGATGTCTGCAGTGTTGGCCTCGGACTCCACAAACTCGATGTCCACGTCTCTGCAGCTCTCGCAGAAGTAAGTTCCTGACGTGAATGTGCTTCACTCTGCTCTCCAGTCGCGGCTCTCGACAAAGGAGAATCGACGCCTTGTTGTCAGTGAACAAGGTCGGTGCAGAGCTCGGCCGCTCACCAAGGTCGGCGAGCAAGAAGGTCAACCAACGCAGCTCCTGTGCCGCCATGGCACCAGCGTAGATCTCAGCCTCAGCTGTAGAGGTCGAGACCGAAGAGGAGCGCGTGGACCGCCAGGAAACAGCTCCAGAACCCAGGCTGAAACAGTACCCCTGGATAGACCTGTGAGTCTCAGTGTCGTCAGCGTAAGAAGAGTCACAGTGACCAGTAAGTACGACAGACTGCTGTCCTCCAAGAACTAGCCCCACGCCTGATGTCGTCGCTAGGTACTTCGCCACCCTCACAGCTGCTGTCCAGTGAACAGGGCGGTGTCTCCCTGGCGCAACAAAGCGCGCCAGGACACTGAGAGGGAAGGCGAGGTCCGGGCGAGTACAAGTCATCAGGTACATGAGGCAACCCACAAGCTCTGCGTAGGGACCACTAGGCTCAAACGGCTCGTCAGGAAAGGGTCCAGTGAGTCTGTGGTCAACAGCAAGAGGTGTGCGCTGTACTGTGGAGTGCTGAAGCCCGAACCGTTGAAGGACCTGCTGCACCATGTGTGACTGTGAAAGTGTAATGGTGCGAGCAGCTCTGTCCCTGGTGATCTGCAGGCCAAGGTAGTGGCGCAGCTCACCAAGGTCAGTGCAGGTGTGTCTCTTCTGCAGTTCGGACTTCACGTGTGCCAAAGCAACCCTGTCAGCAGTGGCGAAAACGAGGTCGTCAACGTAGACCAGAACAAAGAAAGGTGTGGAGCCACGACGAACGAACAGCGACGGGTCAGCAGAAGAAGGCTGGAACCCAAGGTCAGAGAGGGTAGAACGCAGAGTGTCGTGCCACTCACGAGGGGCCTGGCGAAGACCGTAGACAGGTCGCCTCAGCCTCCACTGGGTCCCAGGAGGGAAGGTGCCAGTGAAGGCAGAGGGACGACGCAGCCAGACCTCCTCGTGTAGGCTGCCCTGAAGGAAAGCAGTGGAGAAGTCGAGAGAGTGTAACTCGTAGTCTCTCTGTGCTGCTACGTGTAGTAACACCCGAAGAGTAGTCATCTTCGGGGTGGGCGCGAAGGTCTGAAAGAAGTCAACTCCCTCGCGCTGACTGAAACCTCTAGCCACGTAGCGCGCCTTGAAGACCGGGGGAGATCCCGGTGGCCGCTTCACCCTGTAGATCCACATGCCGTCGACTACGTTCGCCCCAAGGGGGGGAACCTCATCGACGTAGGTGCCTGTGGATCTGTAGGAGGCCATCTCTGCGTCCATGGCAGCTCTCCACTGAGAGGCCCAAGGCCCTGACACTGCCTCAGCGTAAGTGCGAGGAGTCGGAATGTCAAGGGCGTCGGGGTCACCCTCAGGGGCGAGGAGCATGGCACAGAGATGAGGGGAAGCGGCTGCCAGGAACTCTAGCTCAAACTGCCTGTCCTCTAGGGCGTCACAGCCAAGGGCAGACACACCCCCGACGGCCAGAGGACTGGAAGGAGGAGCAGCCACAAGACCGGTGGCGAAGTCAAGGCGGCGGGTAGAGGCAAAGTCAGTGACTGCGGCAGTAAGAGCGGACACAGAGGACAGAGAGGCACGAGGGTGAGTAACAAGAGAGGCGAGAACACGAGAGAGAACAGGACGGTACGTGCGGTAGTAGTCAATGACAGGAGTAGGAAGCGACGCAGTGAGGGCAGACTCAGGAGGAGACGGAAGCACAGACGGAGACGGACGAGGTGGACGAGAACAAAGTAAGGCAGTACGAAGGTCAGTGAAGGGAACAGGAGACGAGGGACGAGCACGAGGGGAGCGACGAGAGGCCAGGAGGAGGGGACAACGAAGACTGAGAACGAGGGAAAACAGCGGGAGAGGGGTCAGGAGGAGGAAGCGGAGGACCAGAGACGGGAGGAGAGGGGGAGGAGGAAGGAGAGGGAGAGGGGAGACCAAGGGTCCGAAGACCCGAGACAGGAGGAGGAGACGGCTGCTGCTGCTGCTGGGGCTGCTGCGGCTGCTGCTGCTCCAGCGGCTGCTGCTCCTGCTGCTGTCGCTCCTGCTCCTCGAGCCGCTGCAACTCTCGCTCCTCTCTCTCCAACTCCAGCTGCTCCTCACGAGCACGGCGAACACGAGCCTGGAACCTGGTCGGGTAGGGGTGGGGGGAAGGAGTAGTGTCCGGGGCAGCGGCAGCCCCAGAGTCCACCTCCGAAGCACCAGGCACACCACCCCCAGAGGCAGCACCAACACCAGCTCCAGACCCAGGCTCACCAGAAACCGAAGGGGGGTCACCCTCACCCCCAGACGCATTACCCCCAGACTCCGCACGACCAGCACCAGCTCCCGGAAGACAAGAGTCCTCTGCAACCCGCGGCTCAGCTCCAACTCCAGCACCCCCAGAACCAGAAACCGGTACAGGGACAGTCTCAGTACCAACCTCTCTAGAGCGAGCACCTGCAGGACGCGGCGAGGAAGACTGTGGGGAGGGAGGCTGTACCGGAGGGGCTACCGAAGGGGGAGGGGTAGCCTGGGACACACCGGACGGGGCTGGACCAGGGGGGGGAGGCTGTACCGGGGGAGCAGGCGGGGGAGCGGCGGTCAGGAAGAGAGGGGGGGGAGGGACCGGGAGACCTCGACTGGGGTACCTGACGTAGTAGGGGGTGGACTCCTCGAAACGGACGTCACGGGAGTCAAAGAACCGGTGAGAGGGAGGGTGGTAAAAGGTGAAGTCAGAGGAGTCCTCAGGGAAACCAAGGAAGACACAAGGAACGGCGCGAGGCGAGAGCTTGTCCGCGGAGGTGTCGCGGACAAGAGCCAAGCACCCCCAGACACGAAACCTCGACGCAACACCAGGGGACCCGGTCCAAAGACTGGTCGGTGAAGCCTCTGGCCGAGAGACGCGTGGCCAGAGGTTCAGCTGGTGCGCGGCGTACCTGACCGCGTAGGGCCACAGAAAATGGGGGGCACGGGCGTGAGTCAGGGAGGTGCGGGCGATCTCCATGACCAAGCCTATGCGGCGCTCAGCAACCCCATTCTGCTGTGGGGACTCGCTCGCGACAGAATCCAGCGAGAATGCCGGAGCGAAACTCACCCCCGCGGTCAGAGTGAAGACAGCTGACACGACGACCACGAGTGTCCTGCGTGGTAAGCAACCACCTGATCAGCGTAGAAGTCACCTCAGACTTCTTTGCCAGGGGGAACACTGTGGTGTAGCGGGAGTAGTCGTCAACGACCACCAAAAAGAAACGCTCACGCTCAGGGCCAGGGCGAGGAGAGGGGCCCCAGACGTCCAAGTGAAGCGTCTCAAAAGGCTCGGTGGCCGGACGAAGGGAGGAGGAGTGAGGGGTGGCGCGCAGCCTACCCTCGACGCAAGGACCGCACGGTGGTGCAAGGGACGGCGGCAGCGACGGCAAGACACGCGGGAGACCTAAGACAAGACGCTGACGAGACATAGCGCGCAGACGAGGAAGAGAAGGGTGCCCCATCCGGTGGTGCCACAGAACGGTGGGGTGGGCAAGCGACCGGCAGGAGCACGACGCAGCGACTGGACCAGACGTAGGAACCTGACAAGACACAGCTACCTGGGGGGACGGAGCAACCTGGTGAGACGCGGGGACTCGAACGGGGGGCGAAACAGGGACCGGTGGCAGTAGGGGCGGCTGCCGCTGCGGCTGCTGCTGCGGCTGCTGCTGCTGCTGCTGGGGCTGCTGCTGCTTCTGCTGCTGCTGCTGCTGCTGCGGCTGCTGCTGCGCACTCGGGCCAGTGTGAAGAGTGTAGAGACCTGAGCCCGGCTCAGCAGCAAAGGTGGCCAGAGGCTGGTAAGAGTCCCCGTCAACACACACCGCAGTCTCTCCAGAAGGCTCAAACCACACACCCACGTGCTGACTCACGAGGGGTCGCACGCCCACCAAGTTCCGGGAGAACGAGGGGACGTGAAACCCAGTGAGAGACCCAGAAGGAGCAGCAGGACACGGCAAAGTGGTAGTGTGACGCGCGGTGACTGGTCCCGAAGTGGGATCAGCCAGCGCCACAGAAACAGGCGCAGGAAGTGGTGTAAGTGTCGTGCTGTCACGAAAGAAGCAGTGTGAGGCTCCAGAGTCCAGCGTGAACGACAGCGAACCGTCCTCCGAGGTAGCCGCTGGACTAGAGTCTACACAAGAACCTACACTAGCAACAGGCAACGGAGCAAGGCTAGCACCTAAGCTAACAACACCAGAGTAAACAGAGTCAGAAACACTAGAGTCAACAACAGCATACATAGCATGGGGAGTACCAATCAGATCAACTAACTGCTCAGCAGACATGCCCCACAGAGCGGAGCCGTAACGCTGAACAAGAGGAAGCCAGTCAGGGGCAGGAGCACCAACCCCGTAGACCAAACGAACCGTGTCAGTGAGCTGAGCAAAACACTGACCAGGGGGGTGAAAGCGGCCACAAGGGTGGCCCCGGCGAGCACCTGTCAGAACCTGATAGGTGCAGGGAGGGTAAGCAGCACCGCTCTGGGTCTGACGCAGCCCCGACCCCGGAGCCAGCTGCGGCCGCTGCTGCTGCTGAGGCTGCTGGGAGGAGAGGGGCTGCCGCTGCTGCTGAAGCTGCTGCTGACGCTGAGCCTGGTACCACGCCGCTGCTCCACCTCCCGTGGCCGGAAGTACAGGAGGCGACTGACGAACTCGGGCGTCGCCACCACCAGCAGGCGCAGTGGAGTCACCAGTCGCTGCACGAGACGCCTCTCCAGGCCCTGCACGCCCACCGCCGCCAGGCGCAACGTCACCTCCACTACCTCCGCCTCCACCACCACTACCACCACTAGAACCGCCTTTCTTGCCACCCCTACCGCGGGACCGCGACGCAGTCGTAACAGCAGCTGCAGTCGCGTCAGTAGCGGCAGTGGCAAGTGAGGCAGTAAAGGTGGGTAACTGCGGGACTGTGCACCCGTGGAAGAGTGGGGGGGGCACAGCACCAGAGGCAGCGGCTACCGAGCGAAGGTTGCTCTCGACGTCCTTGAGCGCAGACTCAAGGACCTCGACGGTGAGCTCACTAGGGTGCTTCAGCAGAAGCGCGTCGCGAACGGAGGCAAGGCGGTCAGGGAGGCTAGTGGCGATGAAATAGATAGTAATCGCCATAGGGGGAGGAAGCAGTGCAAGCTGTGCCTCAGTGCAAGCAGCGCGGTAACTAGCGTCGAGCGAGCGGAGGTGAGCGACCAAGTCAGCTGAGCGCTCAAAAGACGCAAGGTCAGGGAACAGGAACGGGAGGAAAAGGCGGCCAAGAGAGACAGTAGCGGGAGTAGAGTAGCGGGCCTTAATCGCAGTGAGGTACTCAGCAGCGGTGCGAACCTGAGTGAAGTGAACCTCCTCAGACTCAGGGAGGAGGCTGCTGAGCGCGATGCAGGCCGCAGCGTCACGCGACGTCCAAGCCGTCTGGTCAGCTCGCTGGGTGGTAAAGTGAGCTCTAGCGGCGTCGTCAGGGGCAGGTCCTAAAGGCGTAGGGTCGGGGGGCGCAGGGAGGGCACCAGCAGCGTGCGCCCAGAGGGTCTCGCCTGCCTGGACCTGACTCTCTAACAGACGGCGAGCGCGAAGAAGCCAGACGGAAAAGTCAAGAGGTCTACCGTCAGCGTCGAAACGAAGAACACGCTGAGTCGCCATAGCGAAAACGAACGGACGAAGCGGCGGGCAACGGAAGCGGACGCAGCGGTGGAAAACGAAAGTGGGGCACGGGCCAGGGCGACGGGCTAGGGCGCGGGCTAGGGCGACGCGCTAGGGCGCGGTCTGGGGCGCGGGCTAGGGCGACGGTCTAGGGCGCGAGCTGGGGCGTGGGCCTGGGCAACGGGTAAGGGCACGGGCCTGGGCGACGGGCTAGGGCGCGGGCCGACGGGCAGGGGCGCGGGCCTGGGCGACGGGCTAGGGCGCGGGCCTGGGCGACGGGCTAGGGCGCGAGCCAGGGCGACGGGCTAGGGCGCGGGCCTGGGCGACGGGCAGCGGGGGGGAGGCGCGGTTCGACGGGCAGCGGGGGGAAGCACGGGTCGACGGGCAGCGGGGGAAAGCGCGGGTCGACGGGCAGCCGGGGGAAGCGCGGTGCTACGGGCAGCGGGGAGGGGGGAAGCGCGGTTCGACGGGCAGCGGGGGGGGGGGGGGGGGGGGGGGGGGGGGGGGGAAGCGCGGTCCGACGGGCAGCGGGGGGGAGCGTGGGTCGACGGGCAGCGGGGGGAAGCGCAGCGCGACGGGCAACGGTACGCTAGATCGAGAGGCAGAACGAGTGGTAACGAACGAACGGGACTAGATCGGGCCGGCACTAGGCTCGGGAAAGGCGGGCGAAACGAGTGAGACAGGCTCGGAAGAAACGAACGAGGACGGGAGGAGCGGGATCCCACAGGATCCGAACCTAGGTGATACCATGTCAAACTGAGGAATGAATGATGCATTGATGTTGGTTGGGGTACAAGTAGCAAACCCTAACTTTGTACTCCCTAAGACAAACCTCACTATAGGCTACCACATTTGACACCACAGGGCTAACGAAGGACTACCCACAGGGCTAACCAGGTCTAACCACAGGGTTAATCACAGGGCTAACTACAGGGCTTATCATAGGGCTAACCACACAGCTAACCACAGGGTCGACCATATGGCTAACTACAGGGCTAACTATAGGGTTTATCACAGGGCTAACCACAGGGCTACCTCAGGGCTAACCACAGTTCTAACCACAGGGCTTGTGGCTCGTGGCTAGCTAGTCACAGGGCTTGTGGGTCGAAGGTGGATAGAATAAATTGCATTCCCGCGTCTGTCGGCACCCTTGCCTGCTAGCTCGCTGCCCTGATGCCGTGTGCTAACATCGCCCCCCTTTCACTGCGTCACCACATTGGAGTACTAACCACAGAGATTTGGCATTAGGGCACACTAGTCACAGGACTTGTGCCCCTGGCACATACATCACAGAGCTTGGGCCTCGGAGCACGCAAATGACAGGGCCCCTGCGTTGTAACACACTAGATCGTTACAGTGGTTGTGCATTATGAATGCTACGCTACAAACAGGGCTTGAGCAACAGACCACTCTTGTACATGCTAGTTATCAAAATCACGTTAGCTGGGGCTAACGGGGATAGAGCAACAGGGCACTCTCGATATCAGCTGTTGCAGTTTCGAGAACCAAGCACTAGAAAAAAAACTGCCAGGAAGGACACTGCAGACGCTTGCAATGCCACACGGTAGGACATTTTGAATTCAAGCTCGTACCGTACATTGTGCCAGGCCACTTTTTGATTGCCTTTCTTGTAGTGCTAGGCATGCCAGCAGGCCACTTAGCATGATTTGTAACATTATATAGTGCTTTTTACAATTGCTTCAGCAACATGTGCTGGTGTAGGATGGTTAGTACCGTATCACATTAATGTTATAAATTCTAAATCTGCGAGTCTTCAAGTCAGCTATCAAACACAAAATGGTTACATGGCCAAAGCATCCTTGGGCCCTGTCCCTTACATCAACCCGTTCACACTCACTGTAACCCCTTCACACCCACTCTAACCCCTTCTCATTCTCGGATCCCTTCTCTCTGCCACACTCCCCTTCTCACTCCTCCCTCCTGCTTTCCTCTCCCCTTCCACCCCTCCCCTTCCCTCCGGCTCTCCATCCATAACCCTCTTTCTCACTCCTATCCCCCTCTCACCATCACCCCCCACTCCTCCGCTGCTTTGGCCCGAGCCAAGGCTCCGACGCTGGTCATCCGGGCCTGTTCGAGCCGAACCTCGCTCCGAACCTCCGCCCGAGGTGGCACCTGCGCCGCGGCCACCAGAAGCACCTGCGTTCCTAGCCATTCTCGGATCATTGCTCTTAATGTTCCCACGCACAAAGCTACCACCAGAATTCATGGTTCGGTTTCGCTGCCCTTCTCCCACACCCGCCTTTCCCCTGCTCCCCACAGTTGTCCCTTCCAGCTCTCCTCCCCCTCGCTCTCCTCCTCCTGTTCCGGTTCCCTCTCTTCCTCTTGACACCTGTGTCCCTACTTGACCCCCACTCCTCTTCCCCCCTTCTCCTTCTCCTCCTCACTCTCCTCATCTTCCTCATCATCCTCATCAGAATCATCATCTGAATCATCGTCATCATCATCATCATCATCATCATCATCATCCCCATCATCTGAATCCTCCTCTTCCTCCTCTTCCTCCTCTTCTTTCTTCTGGCTCGCTCGTCTGTTCCCTGCCTGGCGTGTACCCGAATTGCCCCCATTCCCCCCATTCCCCCCATTCCTCCCAGTCCCCCCAGTCCCCCCTCCTCCACCACCACCACCCATAAGCATGCCCATGCCATACCCATTTGAACCCATACCAACAGCCCCACCACCCATATTCATGCCCATACCCATACCCCCCATACCCCCCATTCCACCCATGCCACCCATATCCCCCATATCCCCCATCCCCATTCCCCCCATCCCCATGCCCATATGCATGCCCATTCCCCCCATCCCACCCATTCCTCCCCCCATCCCTCCCCCCATATTTCCGCCCATCCCCCCGCCCATCCCCGCCCCCATACCTCCCCCCATGCCCCCCCTGCCCTGCGCCTGAGCTTGCTGCTCCATCAGCCTCTTCTTCTCTGCTTCTCGTGCCGTGGCCTGGGGGGGGGGGGGGGGAGAAGTGGGGAGAGATGGGGGGGCGAGAAAGAGTGATTTGAAGGGGTTAGATGGGGGGCGAGCGGCAGAGGACTGCTCAGAGGAGGCGGGGAAGAAGGGGCAAGAGAAAGGGGACTGAAGCGTTCAGCAGCATACCAGCAAAGGAGCGTCTGGCTCGCGGTAGAGAAGAGCAGTGAGCTGCTCGCCGGCCGAGGGCTCCACTTCTTGGCAATCGCGGCTGATCTTGACGGGCTGGTTGTCATTGTACTGGTTGCGCAGGTGGCGCGTCTTGTTGAATGATAGCTCACACAGCTGATGGGATGGAGAGGGGCGTGGGAGGAAGACAAATGAAGGGGACGGGGGGCAGCATGTGAGTGTGGGCAACGTTGGCTGGTCTTGAAAGGTGGTTGTCGTTGTACTGGTTGCGCAGATGGCCCGTCTTGTTGAACGATAGCTCACACAGCTGGTTGGCAGTGAAGAGCGGGTGGGAGATGATAGGGGGCGAGAGAGAAACAGCAAGCAGCTCGGGAATCAATTGTCGTTGAACTGGTTGCTCACACGGCTTAAGGTGCTCAAAAAGGACTGTGGCTGCCTCCTCTCACCCCCCTCCCCCATCCTCTCACCTTGAGACATGAAATGCGAAAATTCTGTCCATAGCTGCCCATCCGCTGAGCATACTCAGTGTATCCCCCCCTCTCTCACTCTCCCCTCCTCGCTCCTCTCCAGCCCCTCCCCCCTCACCTTGAGCCATCGGATACGGAAGTTTTGTCCATAGCTGCCCATCCTCTGAGCATACTTCCACGGCCCTCCCCCCACCACTGCTCCTATGCGCGACATCATTAGCGCACAGCCCTGGCAAGGTGAAAGGGGGGAAAGGTAGGGGAATGTGGGAAACAGAGAAACAAGGAGAGTGAGGCCTGGGGAGAAGAGAAACAGCATACTTCCGGCCCTCCCCTTGTGTGTGATAAGTCGATTTTTTAGTCGACTCAAAAGCCGTGTGTGATAAGTCGATTTTTTAGTCGACTCAAAAATCGACTTATCACACACGGAGAAGAGAAACAGCATACTTCCATGGCCCTCCCCTCGTACACCCCATTTAGCTTCAAGTGACGCTGCAGTCCCTACCTTTCCCCATTCACCTGGAAGTGCCTGGTCTCATTGACGGAGAAGATGAGGGTAACGCTGTCACAGGACTCATATGCCTCGTTCAGCTTCAACCCACTCTACAGCCCCTAGCTTCCCCCCCACACCTGGAAACTCACCTGGAAGTGCCTTGTCTCATTAACGGAGAAGACGAGGATAACGCTGTCACACGACTCGGATGCCTCGTTGAGCTTCAACCCATCTTGTTCTGCAGACCCCAATCCCAGACACCTCATGTTTTCCCCTCACCTGGAAGTGACTCGTCTCATTAACAGAGAAGATGAGGATAACGCTGTCACACGACTCGTACGCCTCGTTCAGCTTCCCCTCGTTGTTGCGGTGCATACATACATGTGCACCGCACTGCAACCCACTCCACCCCCTAGCTCCCCCCGCCTCACCTGGAAGTGCCTGGTCTCATTGACGGAGAAGATGAGGATAACGCTGTCACACGACTCGTACGCCTCGTTCAGCTTCCCCTCGTTGTTGCGGTGCATACATACATGTGCACCGCACTGCAACCCACTCCACCCCCTAGCTCCCCCCGCCTCACCTGGAAGTGCCTGGTCTCATTGACGGAGAAGATGAGGATAACGCTGTCACACGACTCGTACGCCTCGTTCAGCTTCCCCTCGTTGTTGCGGTGCATACATACATGTGCACCGCACTGCAACCCACTTCACCCCCTAGCTCCCCCCGACTCACCTGGAAGTGTCTGGTCTCATTGACGGAGAAGATGAGGATAACGCTGTCACACGACTCGTACGCCTCGTTCAGCTTCCCCTCGTTGTTGCGGTGCATACATACATGTGCACCGCACTGCAACCCACTTCACCCCCTAGCTCCCCCCGCCTCACCTGGAAGTGCCTGGTCTCATTGACGGAAAAGATGAGGATAACGCTGTCACACGACTCGTACGCCTCGTTCAGCTTCCCCTCGTTGTTGCGGTGCGTCGCCCACATGCCCCGCTGCGCCGACAGTTCAAGATTTTCTAAATTGTTGCTCTTCACGATGAAGTACCTGGGGAAGGGGGAATGGAGAGGGGGGAAAGAGGAAGGCGGTTGGGGGCAAAAGGAGGGGTTGCGGTTGGGGGCAAAAGGAGGGGGGCACGGTTCCTTTGTGTGCTGCAGTCGCATCGCCCACATGCCCTGCTGTGCTGACAGCTAAAGGTTCTCTAAACACACACGCACACACACACCTGGTTGTGCCGGGTGGTGGGGGGATGGCAAGACTCATGGGAGGAGAGGGCGCCACTGCTGCCATGCCTGCTGTTCATTGCGGGATTCAGTTGACTACAAAAAAACCCTTTTTACGCACACAACCACGCACACACGCACCTGGAGACGGCGCCATTGCTGCTCCCATGCCTGCTGCTGAGTTTGATTGACTAAACCGTCACTTGACAAACACGAGCACACGCACACAATGACACAAATACGCACCTGGTTGTGCCTGGAGGCGGGGGAATGGCGAGACTCATGGGTTGAGACGGCGCCATTGCTGCTCCCATGCCTGCTGCTGACACATCACCCATCATCATCCCCCCTTCCCCGTGCATCCCTCCTGCTCCCCCTCCCATCCCCCCTCCTCCCATCCCTCCCCCCATCCCTCCCCCCATCCCTCCACCCATCCCTCCCCCTCCTCCCATGCCTCCTGCTTGAGCCGCCATCCCTTGCTGTTGCTGCATATGCCCCTGATTTGGAGCATTTGCCTGATTTGGAAAGGTTGCCTGGTTTGGCGTGTTTGCCTGATTTGGCATGTGTGCCGGCCCTCCTCCCCCACCACCACCATCACCACTACTACCCCCACCAGTAGCAGCAGTAACACCACCCTTTTCAGCAGCCCCCATACCGCCCATCCCACCCCCTGCCTCTGCCCCGTCCCTTACGTTCCCCACCCCATTGGCAACCCCTCCCCCTCCCCCTCCCCCTCCCCCTCCCCCTCCCCCTCCCCCTCTGTCCCCGCCTCCCCCTCCCCCTGTGGGTGCGCCCTCTGCTCCCCCTTCGCCCGTGGCCCTATTCACCCCTCGCATCCCTCCTCCCCCTTGCTGCTGCTGCCCCCCCTGCCCTCCTTGCTGGCCCTGCTGCTGCCCTGTTTGCTGCGCTTGCTGATTCACAGCTGCCCCCCCTGCCCCTCCGCCCGCCCCCATTCCCCCTCCGCTTTGCCCCATTCCCCCTCCGCCTGGCCCCATCCCCCCTCCGCCTGCGCCCATCCCCCCAGCAGGCCCTGCTCCCCCGCCTGCTTGCCCCATGGGGCCCCCTTGCCCCATCTCCCCTCCTCCCCCCATTCCCCCTCCCCCGCCTCCGCCCATACCCCCACCTGCTCCTCCCCCAGGCCCCATATTCCCCCCTGGGCCCATTCCCCCTTGCCCCATGCCTTGCCCCATGCCTCCCCCCATGCCTCCCCCCATGCCTCCCCCCATGCCTCCCCCCATGCCTCCCCCTATCCCTATTCCCCCTCCGCCATGTGCGCCCATCCCCCCGCCCCCCTGCTGCTCCATCCCCCCAGGCCCAGAAAAGAACCGCACAGGCTTGTTGCCGCCCCCCATTGGCCCCCCATTCCCCATCCCCGGGCCCCCCATGCCTCCCCCCATGCCTCCCCCCATCCCTCCCCCCATCCCTCCCCCCATGCCCCCCCCTCCGCCCCCCATCCCCCCCGCGAAGTGGAAGGGCGGGCGCTGCTGCAGCTGCAGTTGAAACTTTTCCGCTAGGGCCTCTACAGGAGGAGGCGGGCCGGGCAGCTTTAAATGTCGGTAGCGGCAATCAGGGCCGTTCGGGCAGAATCCAAGCTTGTACCTGGGGGGACGGAAGGGGAAGGAGAAGGGGAAAGGGGAAGGGGAAGAGGGAGCGGGGGAGGGGGGGACTATGGGTAACAAGGATGATTAATCAGAAACATGGGAGCGAGCAAGAGCACATGGCAGCGAGCAACAGCAGTGAATCACAGGGCTATCAGAAGATGAGAAGAAAAGATGAGAAGAAAAGATGAGTTGAACGGACAACCTTGCTTGGAATGGAGAGCACAAGCAGCATCAGGCTATGATAACGGCAGGTCAGTCAGTCAGGACCTGTAATAGCCTGTAATAACATGGTCCTTACGGCGCCAATAAAAAGCACCTCAATTTTCGCAATGGGAAGTGCAAGCAGTATGAGGATATGCACGAGCATTCACTGGGGAAATGCAGCATTATGAGTGAATGCACGCAATCATGTGCACTGAATAGAGCCATGCGCGCAATCATGTAGCCATGCGCGTGCCAAAGGCAGCACGGGAGCAGAGAAGATTCTGGCTGAAACGGACAGGAGGTGAAAAAGGAAAGCTTTTATTATTATCAGGAATTGACAACAGATCATAAATGCAGACGTTACAAAGAAACAATCGCAAGAATGGCAACTCCAGCCTACTCTGAAGCAGAGAGCGTACACGCATAACCTAAAGCCTGCAAATACCCTAAGGCTCACAAGTAACACCGATATATACAGAGTTTAAGAAAGGCAAGCCAACAGTCACAACCATCTAAACCATCACTGCTGGATCGACTAATAACTCATCACGACTAATCATGAACAGGAGCACTTAATCGTCAATTTCAATAAACCGTAACGTACATGTTACACTCCTTGACGTCTTCGTTGGTGTGCTTGTACACGCAGTCAACCTCCCTGCACTCGCCCCACCGCGCAAAGTACCGGCAAACCGGCATGCGGCTCTTGTCGTACTGGTGCAAAAACCCGCAGTCGTTCCCCTTCATGCACAGCCCGCGCAGCCAGTGCCGGCAAACGGTCTGCCGGTAATTCCGCCGGAAACCGGCAGGCGGCGGGCCGCCCCCGTGGCCCCCTCCCATGTCGTGCGCCTGCTGCTGATGCGGCTGCTGCTGCTGCTGCTGCTGCTGCTGCTGACTTTGCGGGAATTGGTGTTGCTGCTGCTGCTGCTGGTACGGGGGTTGCGGGTGCTGCGACAAATTCCCGCCGAACCCGTCGGTCCTCGCGCCGAAATTGCCGCCGCCCGCGCCGCCGGGTGCGCCAGGGCCGGCGCTCGGCTCCACGGATGCCGCCGCGCCGGGCGCGGAAGAAGGCACGGCGGTGCTGAAGGCGGGCGCGGACGGCGGGAGCGGGCCGGGGCCGAGCGTCTGCTCGAAGTCGAAATCCTCGAGAGCATCGTAGTCGTCCATTGTGACGCGTGGCGGGAATCGACGGTGATAAAGAGGCCGAGCGGGTTGAGTCGAATGATCAACGAACACGGGTTCTGAAGATTCAGCGACGGGATCGGTGAGTTAACGACGCAAATCGGTGTGGTGAAGCGAGGCCCTGAAACGTAACGATGCTAGGCGGCTCAATCCGACTAAAGCAACGTCAGCAGGGGAACAGCGGTACGTCGTTCGCTCGCGCGTTTAACGGTACGGGATGCGGGCGACAGATGGCACCGCAACAACGCTGGCGATCCCAAGCGGCCAACAAACCCTAAAATTCGATCACTCTCGCCCGCCACCTGTGATGACTATCCGTTCCATAAGATGCTTTCGCAAGCACGTCCCTCGTCGCCAGACTGCGCTCAGTTCAAGACACAAAATCCGGTCGCGCGGCCTGCTTTCTAATCGTCGGAACCGCCGCTACGGCCTACATATATTTTACCTGAGCGCAGTAGGGACCGCCATACCATTTTGTCTTAGTCGAAAGTGCGCAACGAATTTCAAGATGTGCTTTTGAAAACGGCTGTCGGTGAAGCGAAGTTTTCCTCCTACCATGAAGTTATGCTATAAGGTGCCTCATATTCGTGCACAGTTACGGTGAGCTGAAGCTTGTAAAATTTGTTAATGGCAGCTGCATTTGATATCTACCTTTTTACATTCGTATCGTATGCAAGAATTCACCAATTGTAGCAAAGCCCAGGATGAATGCTATATATCCAGATCATCGTCGGGGTCTTCATCCGAATCTGGGTATTCGTCATCCGAATCACGTTCATAATGAATCAACCCCCCACCCCCGCCTTCGCTCCATTCGCCCCCAGTGGTGCCCACTGCAAGCTCCGCCATACGAGTTGAGACACCACCAACAGAACTCTCCCCAAAAGTCTTTGCTGTTCCCTTGATGTGGCCTGGCGCAAGGCCCCTCCTCCCGTCGTAAATCTTGATTGGCCCAGTTTCACCTGGATATGGGAGTGGACACGACACGACACCAACACTGATAAGATCAGACCAGCAATGATAAGATCAGACCAGCAATGATAAGATCTGAGCAGCAATGATAAGATCAGAGCAGCAATGATAAGATCAGACGCAAGAAAGAAAATGAAGAAAACAAAGAGGTGAGGAGACGAGAGGAGATGAAACGATATGAGCACGTGCCGCAGGAAAGGAGCGGTTGGCCGGGGTTGGGAGGGGTTGAAAGGAGTTCAAACCAACCTCGGTGCTCGTATGGAAGCACTACTTTCTCTCTTGCTGCCCGCTCCTCCTCTGAAAGCTCAAGGCGGAAGGAGACCTGAGTGTTTAACAGTGCAATGGACAAAAGGAAGAGGGAAAGAGAGAACAACAATTTTGAGCACCACAACTTTCTCTCTTGCTGCCCGCTCCTCCTCTGAAAGCTCCAGGCGGAAGGAGACCTGAGCGGTTGACAGTGCGGTGGAGAAAAAGCAGAGGGAAAGGGAAAACAACAATGTTGAGCACCACAAATTTCTCTCTTGCTGCCCATTCCTCCTCAGAAAGCTCCAAGCGGAAGGATAACTGGAGCCAGGTGGAGGGGTTTTTGAGAATTGTCAAAAACCAGCTCGGAAGGATAAGTGGAGGCAGGTGGAGGGGCAGTGTGACACATGGTGGAAGAGAAACCTGAGAAAGGTTTGCAGGGAAGGATGAAAAGGGGAAAGGGGTCATGGTGAGAGGCAGAAAGAGAGGTATACCAGGAGCGGGAGAGAGAAGAAGAGAAATGTGGCAATGTGTATTCCAGCAACCATGCAAAACACCCGCAGGGTGCAAAGCATCTGCTGATCTCACCTCTGGCACCCGATCTCCCTTCGCCCGGATTGGATCCACATCCGCAGCCTCCCCTTGCCCTCTCGCCCTTGTGTGTGGCCCTACAACTGTGTCTATGCCAGGCTGTTCCTGTGGAAGAGGTACGTCGGGAGGTACTTTAGAGCCATTGCTTCTGCTGTCGGTAGCAAGAGTGGTTTGTGGCGCGGTAACAGGTGATTCAGTGGGCGGGGAGGGTTGTTGTGGTGTGCGCACAGAACCCCTGGTCTGTGCGTCGATGTGCACTGCCCCTTGCCGGTCAAAATGGAACTCCTCAAGCTGCATTCAAGGTGAACAGAGGGAAGGGGAGAGGTGAGAGGTGGTGCGCGGAATGATGGAATCATGTACTGATGGACCGACGGACAGACAGACAGACGGACACAATTGTAAGACGTCGGTGAACTGGCAGGGGCAAACCAGAAAGCAGAGAGCGCCAACGAGAGAGAAAGAGACTTACTGCTGTTCGGAATTTCCCCGAAGCCCTCTTCTGCTGCAACAGCAGGATCCCTCCCGGCAACACGTGCCGATCCCCCATGAAGTCCCCACCCATGCCCGTGCTGCCACCACCCTCGCTCCTGCCACTGCCTCCCCCACCAACATTACCAGAGGCCGCTCTGATGCTGCTGGTGCTAGTCGTGGCAGGGGTAACAGCTGGGGTTCCGAATGGGTGATGGGAAGAGGAGGAGGGATGAGGGAGTGAGGGAGAGGAGAGGAGGAGGGAGAGAGGGAGGAGGGAGTGGCTGGGATGGGGCTCTAGAGAGAGGAGTGCGTGCGCCATGTGGCGCAAGGAGGAGGTGACAGCTGGCGGGGTGACGTCAGCATGGGATAGGAGGAGAATTCCCGAGACTGAGGCTGGAAGGGAGAGAGGGAGGGGAGGAAAGGAGGATGGATACAGGAGGGAGGGGGGGAAGGATTAATGATACAATTGATGAATGCAGCATACGTAATGGGATGCATTTTGTATGATGAAGATGCAGAGTAAAGAAGTAAGAAGTGAAGTCATGCTATTTCAAGCTAGCAATGCTCTCTGCACGCAACATGCTTGAGCATACATGCCTGATGATGATCGGTCCCTCTCTCTCCACGACCCCTTACCATGCCACTGCAGTCGTGCCATCATGGCGAGGACGGCTGCTGGCGTGTTGTGGCGCAAGAATGGGTCCAGCTGATGGCATGGCATGGCATGCAGAGAGGATGGTGGCATGGCGTGGCATGGTATGGTATGGGGTGGGGGAAAATGCAGGGAGAGGGGGAATGCATGGGGAAGTGGGATGAGATGAGGAAGGATGGTGGTATGGGGAAACGAAGTGCCGGGAGAGAGGGAAGTGAAACGAGTGAGGTACACAAGACAGAGCAGCATCGGTGACGTACCTACCGAGTCTAGCACCACAATGGAAGGAGAGCTCCCTTGCGCGCCTGTGTGTGATTCGGTGGCTTGAGGCTTAGCTGCACAACTGGAATGAAAGTGATGGACGTAGGGTGAGAGGACACGGGGGTGTGAGGAAATGGGGGTGTGAGGAAATGGGGGTATGAGAAATGGGGGTGTGAGGAAATGGGGGTGTGAGGAAATGGGGTTGTGAGGAAATGGGGGTGTGAGGAAATGAGGGTGTGAGAAATGGGGGTGTGAGGAAATGGGGGTGTGAGGAAATGGGGGGGGCGATGGAAGGGATAGTGATGGTTAAACATTTACTACAGAACGCCGCTTCGGAGCCATGGAGACTTACAGAATGCGCTGCTCAAGTGACTGCAGGTCCCACACGTTGCAGCAGCTGCTGGGAAAGGGATCTGCTGTGCCGCTGCGTTCACTCCTGTCACCTTCATTGTGGCCACTGGGATCGCCTGATTGACCACAGGAAGGCTGAAACGGCTGAAACGGCTGAAACGGCTGTCCCCACCCCATGGGGTCAGAGCAGCAGTCCACTAGCGCGCAGTGACACGCGCACAGCCCCCCTGCAGCGCCATGCGCGATGGTCGTGGCGGTTGTGGCAGCACGAGGGGAGGCTACGACCAGCACTGCTCGGCTGAGAGGGGTTGCGGCCAGGGAGGGGAGGGAGTGGTCGCAGGAGAGAGGATAGAGGGGATGGAAGAAATTTAGGGAATGTAGGGACACAAGATACGCACATAAACATCACACGCACAGTTCACATACACATGCACACTCACACACCTTGCCTGCGCGCGTTTGCAGTGGATCGCGCGAACCAGGGACTCAGCCATGTGGCGCAAGATCTGCCAGCCTCCCAGAACGTGACACGTGTCGCTCAGCACAACCGTCGGCGCCTCCATCCCGTCGATCCTTCCCTCCCGCAACAGACGCACCGCTGCGGCCGCCATGCGCTCGTGATCGATAATAGAGCTTCGCAATTATTGTAACAAGCTGATCAATGCTCTCGCTCCTATTTGCTACAGATGCCACCTGTTTTGATGATTCGCTCCTAACAGCAATCCTGTAGGCTTGAAAGCTAGTGATGTATATCAACCTGCCGTAGTTTGCTGGATCAGTCCCCTTTCGTGCCACTGATCCGCAATTCTTCCAGGCGGAACTCACGTCGATCCCCTGTATATATATGAACGGATGCTTCGTGTTTGCTCTAGGCAACCTGGCCTTGAGACTGCTGATGCCGATGAGCAGAAAACATGAGGCAAGTGTTGAAGCAGCAGCTTGAAACCCGGGATTGACACGAGGTGCCACCATTGTGTTCCCTTCTAGGTAACTCCCGATCCAAACATCTCGCCATTGGGGTCGTTTCTGCTCCTGAGACCGAACGGGTGTTCCGTACCTGCAGGATTTCGTCCTGAAGCCCTCTCGCGACACTCCGCAACAGGCTGTAACACCAGACCACAGATGGACCCTGGTACAATGTTTGACACCAAAACAATTCGCGAGCATGTGCGATGAACTTCCAAAATGACCTCTTCGCAAATCTGTGCCAGGGCCAGAATCTGAGCCAATCATGTTCAACCCTAGCCTCAAGCTCAGCTGTCATATGGTCCCAAACCTGCCGAAGTTTGGTAAAGCGTGAGCCATGCATGCAACCCACGGCATCACTCGGACCACATCAGCCAAACAGTCACATGCAAACCCAAGCACCAACCACTTTCTCGTTGCCTAGTCGCAACAGAATGTAACTCGCATACAGATTCGCTCCTGCCACACCCCAGTCAACTCCTTCGCCTGCACTAATCGACAAGCTTTCGCCAATAGGGTTTCCCTAGCTGCGAATATTCTCCACCTTGGGATCATCATCACCGAGTGACCAGCGAGACACCACCATGAATCGCCTTGTCCCCGTCCAACCTCATCTTCTTCCTTTTCCTCTTCCTCTCTCCTTGCCCTTCCATTCCACTTGACATGTCCCTCTCGTACACTACCATCCTCCTGTTCCACATCCATTTTTTTCGTAGTCTGGTAGACCAGGACTACTGTGCTAGGGTCCCAGGAGTTCGCGGTTTCAGATTCAGCTGAGTTGGTCTGTCGTGTTTGGAAGTTTTTGTGCAGTTAGCACATCCAGTCCATGGATGGCTTGAAGTTTAGCTGAACGTATCGTAGCTAGCAGCGGGAACGAGCAGGACGACCTAACCCTAGTTCAGGGCCCTGCTCTGTGGGCCCTGGACGTAGAATTAGTTTAGGGCTTGCGCTTAGTAACCAGAAAGTGGACAGGTGATAGGGGTTGTTTCATGCGAGCGTAGCTTAGGTTTGAACGACCCTTACAAGCTTCGGGGCATGGAGCCCAGAATTGCGAACAAGTATAGGTTAGGGAGAAAAATCGGAAGCGGATCTTTTGGCGAGATCTACCTCGGTGAGCTTCTGTTCAGCTGTGCCCATCTCCTAAACACCGTAACCCGTTTCCTCGACATCAGCACGTCTCGTTCCATACCTCGTGCCGTTCGCCGTCCCAAATATTTTCTCCCTCCTCTGCCGTTACCTCTCCCTTATTTACGTCGTCAACAGGAACGAACGTTCAGACAAATGAAGAAGTCGGCATAAAGCTGGTAACCACTCAGTTTTCTATAGTTTACGACGCCACCGTTTTTTTTTTTCTTCGCTATGTCGCTGACGTCCGGCTTCCGTGGCTATTTTTCCGTGTAGGAATCGACCAAGACGAAGCATCCTCAGCTACTCTACGAGTCGAAGCTGTACAGGATTCTTCAAGGAGGAAGTGCGTATTTCAAACCTATATTTTCCGACCTCACATACATATCCTTGCGAAAATTACCATACTAGCAAAGCTATGCGGATTCTACGATTTGTGCTCGATACCGGCGCCTGTATTTCATTGCTGAAGTGTTGACAGCACTTTTCGTGCCTTGGCCTCTCTTTTTTCGCGCTCGCTCGATGCTGCTGTGACAGCCGGCATCCCGAACATCCGGTGGTTCGGCGTGGAAGGGGACTACAATGTCATGGTCATCGACCTGCTCGGGCCCAGCCTCGAGGACCTCTTCAACTTCTGCGCCAGAAAGTTCTCGCTCAAGACTGTTCTCATGCTCGCGGATCAGCTGGTGGGTGCTTAGGTTACCTTTCAGTCAGCTCAAACGTGTCGTCGTCTTCTGCGCCAGGAAGTTCTCCCGTAAGACCGTTGTGATGCTCGAGGATCAGCTGGTGGGTGCTTAGGTTTCTTTAAGTATTGGTGGTGCAAACGGCTTGTTATCTTCCTCTGGGACCGTTCACATGCTCGCGGATCGGCCAGTCGGTATTTTCTGCGCCATCGAGTATTCTGGTGGTGCAATTTTCCAATCTTACGGAGTGACAGGAGCAGTTCCGAAGGTTTGTTGGTGTATGCAGGTTGAAGCTCTTCGGTTGGCAGCGATCGCGGAAGTGACTGTCGACCGGTAGTTACTAAACGGGCCGGTAGTTTTGAAACAGTATTCTCGTAACTCGCTGGTACCGCTCGCTTGAAAACGGACTGGTACTCAAAACGGGCCAGTAGATTTGGGCAAACGGGTAGGGGTAGTTCAGAGAGCGTCGCGGCGGTGTGGAAGCGTGCCTGGTGGTTCGCGTGAGTGCGCGAAGGAAAGGAGTACGTGGCGACGGATATCGCCATCGGTTGTCGCAGGACGTTGTTCGTTATTAAACGTTTCAGCTTGGTAGCTTTGGAAGCTTGGCACGCGTTTGGTGTTTCGCGATGGTCGAAGCGGGAAGAGTAGAGACGAGATATGGGATGGGACGGTATGGGATGAGATGGGCTGGGAACGGATGGAAACCGTGTTGCAGAAGCGAAGTGACTGTCTCTCATCCGTGATAATTCAATCATGTGCAGAAGTTCTGGTTCTCTTCCCGTTTCTCAACCGTTGCAGATCAACCAAGTGTAGTACGTGCACTCAAAGAGCTTTCTGCACCGCGACATCAAGCCAAACCAACTCGACTCCCGTCTGAGTCAATGATTATGCACTCCCGTTCCCCCTGGCTCACCATTCCCGCAGATCAACCGAGTGGAGTACGTGCATTCGAAGAGCTTCCTGCATCGCGACATCAAGCCCGACAATTTCCTGATGGGGCTGGGCAGGCGCGCCAACCAGGTGTACATCATCGACTTCGGGCTCGCCAAGAAGTACCGCGACCCCACCACGCACCAGCACATCCCCTACAGGTACGTCCGTGCGTCCTCTCTGCATCCACTCTGCCTCTGCGTCGCCTGGGAAAGTGAGACTGAGTGGCGTGAAACCCCTTGGTCTGGCTGACTCGTTGACATAGTAGTCCTGGGACTCCCACGCTCGCGCCCTCATCCCCTCATTCCCCTCGCCTGCCTGCCCTGCGCCGGTCCCTCTGTCCCCCTTCCCACCCCTCCCTCCCCACCTCACAACCCCCTTCCCGGTTGCCCTTCCCTGTATCCATATTTTTTTCCGCGCCAACCCACGTTCTTCTCCTCTCGGTGTGCAATTTCTATGTGCTTGCGCTGACTCTCCACGTGCGTTCTTTGCTCCCGCTCATGGGCGCGTTCTCTTCACCCGCGTTCTTCTCACCTGCGATTTGATCGTGCGCATGCATGGTGTGGTTGGTGGCCTGATGCAGAGAGAACAAGAACCTGACTGGCACGGCTCGCTACGCCAGCATCAACACACATCTCGGCATCGGTATGTGCCTGCCGCCCATCGGCCTTGCTCCGCTCGCCTTACATCCTTGCTCCGCTCGCCCCACTCCCCCGCTCCCCTCACCCCTCGCCCTTGTCCACTCGCCCCTCGCCTCTGCTCTCTTGTGCTCGTCATCATCTTTCTCTCAAGACGTGCTTGTATGTTCATGTCACACACACACCGTGCTCTCATGCGCATGGCGCCTGTGCGCATGTATACGTTGTGGGCAGAGCAAAGCCGGAGGGACGATCTGGAGTCGCTGGGCTATGTGCTAATGTACTTCCTCCGAGGAAGGTGCGCTTCTGGCTGCCGTTAGATTGCCTGAGGAACCAGGAACTTTCCTTCTGCATCTAGTGACCCTCTATAAACCTCCCTTTTTTTTTTTTTTTTTTTTTTCCGAATTGGCCCTTGCTTAGGGCGGTTCTTTCCACTGGGTCCATCCGTTCCGCTACACCTTCTTTGAAGGATGTGGCATTTCTGTCGGGCTAGTTTGCTGAGGCACGTTGGTCTGTGCTGTGTTGTGCAGCTTGCCATGGCAGGGTTTGAAGGCGGGTACGAAGAAGCAGAAGTACGAGAAGATCAGCGAGAAGAAAATGTCCACCCCCATCGAGGTGTGTATGTAGTGTTGTCATGTATTTGTCTAGTCAACTCAATTCCCATCGAGGTATTCATGTAACATTGTGTTGCTGCAACTCTCCGTCACCCATCACCTCACTACTGTCTCCTCTGAGAGGGCCACCCCACGGAGCTCG